TTTGCAAATATGCATATAGTTTTTTTTTCTCATTGTTGTCAAATAATATAATTTTCATGTGGAGTTTGCATTCTATAGGGATACTCCTATAGAATGCAAACTTATGTAAACTATCCAATAAAACTGCTGAAAAACAATCATCTGGATTGGCGTAAATTTGAACAGAGTTTCGCGGCTAATTTAGTCGTTTCATAGTTAAACATATATTTTTCAAAGCACTTGATTCCTCGTATATCCGTCTGGACTTATTGCCCACATCCTGCGTTGATAAAGAGTGAACAAACAGCGTCAGGTTGTTGAACTAGTGTTGACATTGTCGAGCACGTGACATAGGCCGGGTGCACATCCGCACAGCGGTTGGTCCCTCTTAACGGTCTAGGCGAGCTTAAAATAAAGCTAGGATGATTTTTACATAAACTTTCACGTTAAAAGGAGAAGCCTACTAAAATATGTGAGATAAGCTTTAATTTAGTTTTCTTTACTTCCCCCGAAATACTGAACGGACCGTGACGCAGGTGGGATTCGAACTCTGGTCTTTAAAGAAGCTCTACAAAATCTCGTGCATTAGCGTGTGAAAATCGTAAATATTCATAAAATATGTAGTGCAAAATTTCAGCTGGTCAAAAATACATCCTGGGAACTACGGGATTTTGCCCATTGTTCTCCTCTCACCCCCAAAACGAACCGACAATAGACAATCAGATGATCCAGATTCGCACGGGAATGCGTATTGTTAGATAGGTCGTGACCCCGAAGGGACGCGGAAGCTATGGAAATCGGGACCTCTATTGTCTATGCTCCCGTTACAATCGCAGCCTCCTTGCTGCTGTCTTCGAGACAGTTACGACATGGTCCTTAAGGTAAACCTGTGTGAAAAAGCAGTTATAATATTGGAGGACTCACAAGCACGGGGTCTACTTGTTAGTAGGTGACATACCTATTTTGGGTTTAGATATCCACTGCCCTACCACAGACTGAAAACGAAACGCGACACTACTACGATGCTTAATTAATGTGTCATAAGGAAACAATAATATCGCCATTAATTAGTGTAAATGGAATTATCAAACGGATGTATGTACACTGTCCCTATGCATGCATTTTCCGTTAAGTTATCAGCTTGCTTTTGTCAGAGCGACCTTTTGTAACAAGAGGTAACTAAGTTTAAATCATTGAAATTCAGCAAGTCTGTTCCGCGGTACACATTAAACAAAACACTTTCAACCGTCTAAAACGTGATTAAAACGGTGTGTAAATATCTAGTGTGCTACTTAGTACTTTACTGGATGAAGTCATAAGTTTAGTTGCACAATGGCCACATTTATCATTGTAACTTGAACTTTTTAATGACCAGGATCTAACTGGGTTACGACCATTAATTTTATCCAACGAAATGAGGTCATTCGCTGAATTAGAACATATGTAGATTACAGTGCGATATTGTGTGTTAGCGGCGTCCCGCGAAACTCGAAAAAGCATTAAAAAGTGATCGTTTGCCCCTTTCTGTACCAAACTGAACAAGTAGCGTTAAGAATTCGACATGATCCATAACTTACAATCTCTGCCAACAAAATTGGATTTTTATGATGTTCCTTAAATTTAATTGAATGCGCGAAAGTTCTCGGGTTCGTCGTCGCAAGGGTTCCTTCGAGACCCTGTGCACACAATTTTGCATTCGACACCTTTATATATAAACGCGTTTTTTTTTCTTTCTTTCAATCCATACCTAATAATTACTTAAAGAATTGCTCTCATAATAGACTAAAGTTGTACTGTATTTCCCTTATAATACGGTTCGAAATCGAATAAACAAAAGAGGGGTGCGCCAGAGTGCAGTTTTAACGGTTAATTAAGTCGGCATTGTTTGAGTTTTGAACGTTACTCGCCTTTTGTCTATGGGCGACTGATACCACTGAGTTCTGTATGCAAGATCGTCGACCCATATATCTACATATATTGTTTTGTGCGCCCCGCAGTTACTCTTTTGTCAAATTTCAGACTGTACCATAAGTCCTAACGAAATCGGTCTAGCCATTTACAGCGCGAAAAATTCTCAACAAACATTACAAATTTCGCTATTAAAACTTAAAACAAAGACATTATCTATTTTGGTGGAACTCTCAATAGTGTATATTTTAATTTAGCATTTTTCCTCCTGCGCGGCAAATAAATACGAATTAATTTTTATACTTTGGTTTAAAGCTACGCATGTCTACTACTAGAGCAACAACAAGTGTTTTATTAATCAAAACAAAGTGTGGCCTGTTCCAATTTAATATCTTGGTCAAGGATGAAATTAGGGGCATAGAGAACTGTTCATACGTCAAAACCATTTTGTAACGGTTTTTTCGTTAAGATTGTGAACTATAAACGGTATAAAGATGGTGAATAGTATAAAATGACTCTCAGTATTTTCACAAAATTATATGAAAATAAAATAGAATCCAGAAGAGGTTTGCCCCTGGATTCGAACCGAGATCCTCTCGCGTTCCATGCAATACCAGCAGTACAAGTAACCACTGATGTTGTTTTTTTATCGGCCCGTCAGCACTGGCAGGAAGTATAGACAAAAAAGACAATTATCTCAAGTGTGGTCTTGGTTCGAAATTCGATTTGTTCCACGTGCATGCCTCAAGGACAGAGATTAGATGCGCAGGAGTGGCGGAGGAGCTTTGATATTATTTAACGGTGTATGTGCTTCAAATAGATTAGGAGCTTTTAAACGAAATAGGATTTTTAAGACGCTCTTAGGTTGTTAGGGACGTTTTGCGACCCTACATGTTATAAACCTAATATTAGCTACAATGTTTTAAATAGTTTACTAAGAAGATATTTAAATCTAAAAAACAATATTCTTTGTGTTTGTCTACTACCATGTGTACCACAGATTATCATTTCGAGTTCGATCCCTGACTTGTACTAATTAGAATTAATATAAATTCAATCAATAAATAACTGGTATTTTCGTTCTGTAACGGTGGCTTTGGTAAGAAGACGCTTCGCACAGTCATGGTCAAGGCAACAAATCGGCCCTTATCTAATATCGACTATTAGCATATTTATATCTATGGACGATGGACGTCTCCTTTAGGTCGTGTAGCTTTTCTAGCTTCCGATCGAAGGATAACCTAAATATATAGATGCTGCCAACTGAACTGTGCACGCATATATGCAAATTGAAGGTGAAATATAAGTTAATCGAATTAGTTCACATCTGCCATGCATACGCCATATGGCGGTTAGCATATGCCACGCTTTGGGGGGGTCTTAACACCAAATTAGTGTTAAGTTTTAAAATAACCTAGCTAACTTTAAAACGTGGAAATTATCAAACTTTTAAGGTAATTTATAAAAGAAGGCTCATTTGAAATTTGGCGTTTTTCGAAAGATTTCCGGCGCCGAACTTTATTTAAAACACATGCTGAGCTCAAGTGGTCCAAATGAAGGATATAACAATCGCAACATTAGGCAAAGTGACCCCAAGCCGCGCAGGAAGACGTAGTTTAACGCTCGCGTGGAAATGACGTAATTGCGCTTGCGCACGCCCGATACTATCTGTCGAGTGCTATTTCCTTAGATATAAATGCGATAAAGATGTGTCCAAAGCAATTGAGCGAGATCTTAATTGGTTGTTACTTCGTTCTATAAGTCCTTTCATCAGATCAACCATACGCTGATTCTATAAAAGCTTACGAGAGAGGAAACGAGCTCCCCTCCGTAAGACAATACGAGTCACTTGAGCCGCAGTTCCTCTCCTTACCGCATCCGTGCCCGTGAGCTGGCGTGGGTGTCATGTAACTATGAACCGAGAGTTACACAAGCGGAGAGACACACCAGTGTGGTGTTACTCGTGTTTTGAGTGTAGGCTAATTAATAGTCGTCCTCTCAAATCGTTTTCGCCCCTAATATTGAAACAAGCGTAGAACGAGAAACTATTATCGTAATTTCCGAGATAAGTCCGTTCAAACATGAAAGAAACTTATCTTTGCTCAATATCAGTGTAAATCCATTCAACCTGTTAAACACCACATTTCCAAAACACATGTTAATTGAACGAAAGTGAATAGGTACGACATAGAGACACGTGCTTCCGCTGGCATTCCTTTGTGCTCTATGGAATTTATTATCTGTTGTCCTTTGTTTCAAAGATGGCGCATTGTGAGACGGGTTGCCGCCATTTTATAACGTATTATAAAAAATACTTTAGTAAAAACAGTATTCACTGCGTTATTATTTAGACGTAATTCATTACGTTGTTGACTGGGAAACGGAGCTTTTTCTGTGAATGAGAAAAGTAAAACTTTTTATAACAACTTGTTTACAGTAGGCCATAAGAGGTAGGAGCAAAACTGGGAAAATCGCTAAAATCGAGAAAGAATAATATAACACCGTGTGCATCATTTGAGAGTCACTTTTGTTAATAATGAATAAATAAGCCTTCTTTTAGTGTCCGATAAAACACCACCAACAAAAGCAAAAATACAGTCTTTTAAGTCATTAAATAAATAAATAAAACAAAGCGTTATTATGTGAATGAAGTCTCTTGCACATTCAAAATAGATTGTTAATATATCTACACTTTGATAGTCCTTTTTTGCGAGAGCAGATGTCTCGGTAACCGATAACAAATTGAATGATTTGTTGTTATTGAATCGGTTTGTTGATTAAAAGGTCCGATTAAGGATCTTAATTTCGATTATAAATTATACGTTGACACGTAGTTTTAGTTGGATGTGCTCCGCCCTCGGGTAAGAAATAAAAACTCAGCGGTTTGTAATAACGATGACACAAACTAACTTGGTAATATTAGCTAAGTTAAGGTAAGGTAATTTTCAGGTCAGTAAGTTTTACTTTGCTTTCACTTTCATTTTTAGCGCAATCTAGCTGCGTAACCGTACGTCGCTCACAGCTCACACGGCTGGTGGTTAGTTGTAGCTTCGAGTCCAGCCTGTGTCGGTGTCATTTTTTCAGTGAAGGCCGTCAGTCGGCGACCTCGGACAATGAGCAATTATACGGAAGCATCCCCCGATCCGCGTAAGAAATCGGCGGTACACAATGCGCTCCCCCAATCGATAGCCAATTGTCTGATAAGCCGTTACAATCTCAGTGTTGCCAGCGTCTTGATCTCAGCTGTAGCAGATGTTGCCATCAGCTGCCGTGGCACGCGACCATTGTTACCTTTGACCGGAGGGTATTCACAACTTTCTTATCACGTTAAGGAGGTCACTCGACGGTGAGACGTCGCGGAGCGCGGTCGTCTGTCGTGCGTCTTGTTGTATCTTAAAAATGTATAAGGTGGAATTTTAAATTAAACTACCTTCGCGTTCTGTTTTATAAGTCCAATATAGTTTTTAAACTTTAAAGTTACACAAGTTTTTATTGTTTTCAAGTTAATTAGTGCTTAAAAATGTTTGATTTCTTCGAGTGCTGTTTCAGAGGAGTGCATACGCGGTTTGTAATTTATAGTTAAAATATATTAGAATTTAATTAAACCAATAACAGGTATTTCTAATAATACTAAAATTCTAAGTAACGATTCTGTCATTGGAACTATTTCACAAATAATAATGTTAAAGGTATTTCAAGAAAATTACAAATAAAAGGCTTTCATTGACGCTATGTGTTCAATTAATGTCAAGATCTTTGTAATGAATAAATTTTATCACATAGTTGCATAATAACTGCTCTTTTCAACCTACTCTCCAAACAAACTACCGCCATAATTATTGAATTGTCAACTATTCAATTGACTCTTACGCGCGGGTGTTGCCAGTACCCTATTGTACTCCCCCGTGCACGTGCGCGAATTCATTGCGTTTTTTTAATATCAGGTGCTCGACGCGTGCGCAACGCAAGCTGTGTTGCTATATTGGTGCGGAAGTGTTTTTTATTAGGATATAATTGCTTAAAACCTCTACATTTGTGTCTAAGTCTACTCTTTGACCGATGCATCCGATTTTGTAGATCAAGCCAGATAAGTAAACTACTTTTTCTCTCTTAAAAGATATGGATGTACCCGTAATAATTCACGTATGTTTATACCTATTCATTTTTGATTTTACTTCTTTCCTAAGCACCGATTTTCAATCATCAATCTCGCATGCAGCCAGTGTCAAATGTGTAAAAGGACATTCGTTTATTATTAAAATGATATTCCCGGCATTCGAACCCGTAACCGTTCTTAACTTAAGCACTGGATCCACTCTACCCCTGCATCGCTGCACCCTAAATAACGGATTTATCGATTCACTTCACCCTCGGGGTGGCTACGCCGTTATAAACCGTTACTTTGATAACGAAATGAATTATGTGCTGCCGTGGTGATATGGCGTTACTGCTAACGACTTGACTCGGCAAAACTTCTTTTATACCTTGTACTAGAAAATAAACCATTTTTTTACGGACTAATGTATGTTTATCATACGAAAGTATTTTTTTAAAGACAATCTTATAAATACACAATAATTACAAAAATCTATGATATCTGGCGGGACTCGAACTCACGACCATTAGCGTACCGGTACTATCGTATCATCGTTTTATGTTCGCACATGTGTTACGTACCTTCGGGGAGAATAGAAGATTTTCTATAAATCTGATTTTCAAATAAGTTGGACTAAATTTTAAACCTTAAACCTTAACTGCGACTTCGTTTGCGCGGATATTAACTTTCGGCAGATATTTTTCTCCCCCATTAGTCAAAGAAACACATTTTGTTGGAAAATGGGAATGACCCCGTCTTTTCTTTCGTACCAGACCTAATGAAAATTTCTGTTTTTCCGATTGACTTTATTGACATGTCGTATAGAGTTCTGTACTGTGTTATTCGTTCATAGTTTCCGCAGGATTCGAATCCTTGGCCTCTCGCGTAACGCATTTTTGGCAACAAATTTAACCACTGAATTACAGAGGTGCTCTAAATAAACAAAAACAATTTTCACGCTGCCATCCACTTTAACACGTTTTTGCAACGTGCATTTAAAATGTTCCTTTTCGGCAAGAAGAAGAACATAGCTACAACCGACTTTGTCTTTTGCTTTTGAGCAACATTCATGTTTAATGAAAGAAGCTTGATAGTAGGCGATACGTGGCAGAAATTATTAATTTAAAATATAGATGAAGGAGGTCCTATGTTAAATACTGTCTATAGTTTACGCGAGTAGTACACATTTAAATAAAACACTTTAACGGTTTAAAACGCGATATATTAGTTAAACTTATTTGAAAATTATTTTTAAAAATAATTTTCAAATAAGTTTAACTAATATATCGCGTTTTAAACCGTTAAAGTGTTTTATTTAAAGGTCCTATGTTCGTAAAAAATGTGTGCGCAATGTCTGTAACGCCTATTGCGCAATTTCCTCGTCAGTACTTTTTTCGTTGTTGAATATCCTTTGACCTTTGCGGGTTCTTCGCTTCATTTGACACATGTGCACAGCGGTTTGTGATCGTTAGAGTTTCCGATTTAACGGTTCCTTTCTAAAAATAGATGTTCAACCGCACCTGTCTAACAGATTTTTTACATTATCCGTGAAAGATTTCCTTCGGAGGAATTCAAAGAACGTACATTCTTCAATATTGGGGACCACGTGACACTGGTATTTATTCGTGTTACTATGTTAGTGTTAGTTAGCTTCTTCGCAAGTTCGCCCCTGTAGCCCAGTCCAGTAGTGAGCACAAGGTTGGTATCTCTCAGTACGCGAAATGTGGCTCGGAATCGTTTAGGGTTAAAGGGACTGCTCTATTATTTTGTTTTCCCGGAATAATCAATTTAAAAAACGAACACGTCATTCGCCAGACCTGTCAGACGTGATTTTTTCTACAAAAAATCGGATTCTTTGTATAGCAAAACCGTTACGACCCTTGCACTGATAAGAATGTGCAGTTATTGTTGTCGGGGACCGACGGAAGGGGCAAGACGTGTTCCCGAAGAGACGTTTATTTTTATCCGTTGCTAACGTACATGTATTCCCACCCGGGTTCGCTTGTTCGATACATTTCCTGTACATACATGCATAAGTCGTTGAAAGATCTACATAACAGTTTGTAAATGCAAAAGTTTGTGAGGTCTGCAACCTGGTAATCACAAAAGATTAACCCATTTTGATACAATTTATTTAATACTTTAAAGAAATATCGAGCGATTAAACGGCCTCCCCGTTAATCAGAAAAAAAATTATATTGTTCGTAGGACAAATAATGTAATTGCAACAAAGTCGGTTACTCACTTATCGAATATCGACGATATCCGTTAGAAATGAACGGTTGAGATCTGTTTAATTCATGATTTCGCCCCAAATCTTAATGTGCTGTATAATATCTAACCGACTTTAAGGGATGCATCCTCCGTGTGCATATTTTAATATTAAGCAGGCCATCTTTGTACCTCACTTTGTATAATTGATTTATAAAACTTTATATAATATATTTCTCTGCTACAATGAAAATATCTGCGCTAAAATAAAGAATAAATAATTTTTAACTACATACTTTTATTTACGTTACGTTACGTTTACGCGAGTAGTATACATTTAAATAAAACACTTTAACGGTTTAAAACGCGATATATTAGTTAAACTTATTTGAAAATGATTTTTAACTTCGGCCCGACGTTTCGGATGCTTTGCGGTCACGGGGAGACCACGGTTGCTGTTGTTTAACTAATATATCGCGTTTTAAACCGTTAAAGTGTTTTATTTAAATACATACTTATTTTTAAGTTGTATGCTGTATTTTTAAGAAAGACATTTTAATTCTACGTTCTAGCACGTCGTATTTAAGAAGTAATTAATTTTATTTGTTACTTATTGACAAAACATAACACGGGGAAAGTTTTATCTGTAAAAAGTTTCAAAATTTGCATTAGCTACTTTTCGGTCACACGTCACCCGTACGTCAGTGTCATCGACATATGTTAAAGCGCGCGAAACGGTTATCTAGTTTTCTACTCTTCTCTAGTCATTCGTAAATGTTCTAGACATGTGTCTGAACAGTTACAAAGCACTGTATGTCTGTTTGCTTAGTGTAAATTCTCATAACCTTTGTCGTGTGAACTGTGAAAACTTGTTTCGATGATCGATATTAAAAAACTATTGTTAAGTTTTTGTTAGGAGATAGTGTGGGACCATTTTTAATAAGGGGTGTGATTTACCCTTTGACGTCAAAGTCGGGTGAGTCGGGTGAGAAATTTATTTAGCTACGTAAAGGGAAGATAATTCTCGCGCTGGCATTGAACAAAATAAAACCACGATCGCGAAATGAAATAATTCGAATTGCAGATGCTTTCAAGTAAAGCTAATGAGTTCAGTTAAGCCCCGGTTACCTGGCCTAGGACAATTTAAATAGAACTTTTTATACCTAACATTGGCACAAACAAAATAATACATATTTTTGTGTTTAAATTAAATGTAGTTTAACAAGCCAATCACAAGTCTAACATGTTTATTATATGAATGATTTTAGATTTGCGATTTCATCTATTACAAATTTAAATATTATTTTTTATATCTTATTTCATAATATATGCATAAATTACAAAATAATATGTCACTAGTAATTAAGTAATTTTTCTAAATATTGTTTATTACTTGGGTTGCCACGATATTTAATTTGCATTTTCTCCTTTCAGATTAATAACAGAGAACTTTAGAATTAATTCTGGCAACAATGCAACAAAAAGGAAGCAGGAGGAAGCACTCGCATATAACTACAAAGTCAAAGTAAAACCACACTCGATAGACTTCACACAGCATCCAGCAACACCAAATAAATCCATAGATACACAGAAGACTTTCTGCCAAACACCAGAAAGGAAAGTTCTAGGTGAACTTCAAAACTCACGGAACTTCCAATCACCGAGGCATCATTCTCCACTAAGTGGAATAAATAGGATTCCAAATTCTCCAAATATTTCTAACTCCCCTCGGATATCACATATTTCAAATTCCCCTAAAATCTCATATATGTCCCACTCACCTACAATCTCACAGATTACCTCTCCTAGCATTGCTCATATTTCTAATTCTCCTACAATATCAAGGATTTCAAACTCCCCCAGAATTTCACATGTTATTAACTCGCCTGGACTATCACGGCTTTCAAACTCGCCTAGTATCACACGACTAAAGAACTCTCCAACGACACCTCTTACCGCAAGCAGATTTTCTCCAAAACCTCTATATCTTAAAGACTCCCCTGCAATGGAAAGATTGAAGTCTCCCCTAGGTAGAGAAAGAAAGAGAAGTAAAATATCAAAGATTTTAGAAGAAAGAAGTAGGTTCAGAGCAAATAAAGAAAATGATAATTTTCATATAGAAGAGGAAACGCAAGATTGTATGTTTGGATATGAGAAGAAAGATTGGAGTATGTCTAAGGTAAAAATCTTTATTAAAAGTAAACTTATGTTGTCTTTTTTCCTGTAGAAATTATGATCAGTGGGGCCAATCCGCATTGGTCCTACTAAAGCACCAGTGTATGGTTAGACGTAATCTAAAATCTAAAATATTTTAATTCCAGCTGAACTTTTCTGACATCAAGAAAGAGAAATACGACACTGACATCTATGTCCCAGAAAACTCTACTACTCTGGAACCCGATTTGGATGTTCTTCATGATTTGGAGGAGGAATTTGATGCTAACAACTTCGACCAATGCACTAAGTACGAGATAATATCAACAGATAGTCCAGATATAATATCAGCTGGACGCACCAGTTCTAGGAAAGTAAATCAAAAAGACTTTGTCTTCGGGGCACCTCTGTCTGACAACGAAACGTCAACCAGTTTTAACCGCCCAAGTAGTTCAAGAGCTTTAAACTTTGAAAGAAGAGTAGAAAGAACTAAGTCTAACAGAGCATTGAAATTTGACGATGGACGAACCAAATTTGGTAGAAATTTAAATTTCGAGGACTCAAAATTGTCAAGTAGTGAACAAAGTTTTGATTTCAATTCAAAGACAGAATTAAGTTTTGAGATCAACAACCCGGGACCTTCAAGTAGTAAACAAACTAAATTTGAAAAGAAATTAAACTTTGACCAAAATTTGTCCGGTAATGAAGAAAGTTACGATTTCAATCAAAGATTAGAGTTTGACAGCAATTTGGGATCTTCAAAAAGAATTTTGAGTTTTGGACAAAGCCATGTTGATAAGAAACAAATTATAGAGGAAAGTTTCGATTTTAACAAACGCAAAAGTTTTGAAGATAGCTTCGAGTTTGCTTCTCCCATGACAAATTTCGAGGACAGCACTCCAAAGAAAAATTTCTCAGTAAAAAAATCCCTCAAATTCACCGATAGTCCTAACTTTGAGAGGCAGAGCAGCATCGGCTCTATGTCGCAGTCCCCTGCCAGTACACGTTCTCCATGTACTATATCAAAGAAATTCACTTCGGAATCTATGGAAAGCGGGTTCATATCTGAGCTTGAAGAACCCTTCTTGGAGATGGAAGAAATGTCGAGTTCCCCCAAGATATTGGATTTCAGGAAGTTGCTGTCTGGGGATATCAAGGATAACTTTAGTATTGGAATGAAACCAGTAAGAAGTTTAAGTAAGCGTGGGATTGATGACTCGTGTGGTACTAACAAGAGAAGAAAGTCTGAGACGAGTCCTGAAATTGTGAGACCCGTGCTCCAGAGGGCGTTCTCGGAAAACAACGCGTCCATTATGTCCGCTCTGGCTAGATGTGAGTATGGGCTGTTTGTCCTTCGATTATCTTTTTTTATTTGATAGAAATTAAGTGCTAAGTAGTTGCTTAATATTGACATAAGAATAAAATACTCCTACAAATGACCTTTTTCGTATTTCAGCTGTCTCAGACTCCGAATTGATAGGTGATTTCTCCCTGCCTTTCGCTCTACCTTTGACTGCCGGAGACCATTCGGACCTCAAGTCTATCTCCTGTGACACCTTGGCCAAGTTGATCAAGGGTGACTACTCCGAGAGCATAAACGATTTTCAGGTTAGAACAATATACACTAGTCGTTGTTTGCACATGAGACTTCATTAGGAATTTAATAGAGAAAAAATAATTATAAAGAAATTTTTTCTCTATTAAATTCCATGGAATATTAAATATTTTAATATTCCTGCTTAATCTATAAAACATAGCATAACATTACTCTCTACTCTTCCCCAGGTGATAGACTGTCGCTACCCATACGAATACGATGGAGGTCACATATTGGGTGCAGTCAATCTCTTCACGTCAAACCAGATCCTGGAACTAATTAAGAATCCCCCGCAAAGGCTCGACAACAAACGAAGCATCTTGGTTTTCCACTGCGAGTTCTCACTCGAGAGGGGGCCAAAGTTGTAAGTTTGAAAAATAATTAAACAATCTAATATCTAAATTCACTTGAATAGCACTCGTCGGGATGTTTGTCATGTTTTTCTAAACGCCTAGGCAATTTTTAGACTAGCTTTCCGAGAGTGCGTTTCGTCGAGTTTATTTCACGTAAGCAATATTTAGTAGACGTTAAATTGAATGAGCAGAAATACCTTCATACATTTAGAACAATGAAATTTCTTTTCAGATCGCGGTTCCTCCGGTCCTCGGACAGGGCGAAGAATCAAGAGAACTACCCTTCCTTGAACTACCCGGAGATATACCTCCTGCACGCCGGGTACAGGTCCTTCTACAAGAGCTACCCGGAGCTGTGCTCGCCCGCGGGCTACACCGCCATGTTGGATCCGCAGCACAAGCATTTGTTGCGCAAACACAGATCGTTACAACCGGCCGGAAGGAGGAACCGACTGCTGATGTAGCGCGTGTATACGGGGCAAATAGGGGGACGGTGAAAAGGGGGGCAAGATACAAAGTCACATTTGTAATTCTAAACTTAAATCTGTAAATATGTTGCGCCCTATAGATAAAATAAACAGCGAAAAATTCAAATATACTGTAAATTATCTATTAATATGCGCATCGCAAAGTAATGTGACTAATTATCTTAAGTATAGTTCTTGTAATGGAGTGACATGTACAAAATGCCATATTACTATAAGAGAGATCCCACCTTTAGATTTAAGAAATTATGCAATATCTTTAAATTAAGGCAAAATTATTTAAGTTCAAATACTACGTTTTAAGAATTTCGAACTTAACCGATTATGAGAAAAATTCGCGGATTAATTATTAAATTGTAAATACTTTGTACATTTTTGCGTCGTGTATGTGTTTCGCGAACAGATGCAAAGCTGTGTCCGTTTCATTGTATGAAAATATAGTCATAAGTTTTTTTATATTTATTGTTTATGCACTTGGCCATTTCAATTTCGCCATACCAAACCAAAAATATTCCATCGTCATGGATATCTATGAATTTTTATAATATTTTTCGCGACTTTCGTCAGACGGGCTTAGGTTCGATTTTAGGTGTTAAACGACAATTTTGATTGCATTTATTAGTTTAGTGTGTAATTAATAATTATGATAGTTTCTTTTTTGAACATCTATGATATAGAGAAACCTCACATGAGAGTGTCCCGTCCCTAGGCTCCAACTGGGGCGAGGGACGACGTTTCTTGTTCGTTGCCGAGACATGGCGACTCTTAAAGCAATATAATTTACGCTTGTACTGTAATTAAGGGAAATAAATTTTATTTTACGTTATTACATGTCGTTTGAACACGTCGTTAATTTTTTAACCTTTAACATTCAGCTCACTTCATCTTGCGCCTAATGTTGACTATTTCTGAAGAATTCCGTTAATCTTAAGATTTATATAAGGAATGGACATCCATTCTCTCGTCCATCATCTTTCGAGAAAATTATTTGAAATTTGACTGAAACTGAATTTAGACCTGTCGACATTAGCCGTTCGTAATCGCAGAAAAAAATCTATGTGTTCAAGTGACATCTGAGTTTTTCCGAGTTTCCTCGTGAAATGTACGCTTATTAGTTGTTAATTGTAAATAGTCTTCTACCTAAAATTATCTTTATCCTTTTATACGACCTAGTTTAGGTGTGCACTCGCTGGCTAATAATTGGAAACGGTTACACCTCGATTAAATCTTTTTAAAATGCTGAATACTGTAGATTTTGTAACACTTAATGGCCCCACGTCTGGACATCACTAATGTAATGTAATACTATTTATGCGACCGTTTCTAAATATGTGAAAGCGAGGGTAGTTGAATTTATAAAAGCCTTTCGTGCTGATATAAACTAAAAACAGTTTTACGGTAGTTTGGATAAAATTTTATATAGTTTTTGGTTGATTGATGCGATTGTTGTATTATATTCGTTGTGATATTGTTGAATCGACCTTTGGTTGAAAACATGTATTCTTAGTCGAACCCTATTTTTTATATAAATTATTTATTCTCCATAACATGGTATTTTTGTGTGTGAAATCCACATTAGAATTTAACCGAATGAATCAACCGAACCAAAAGATCGGTTCAACATTATTTGGGTTTGTCATTTTGTCTAGATGCCATTTTATCCAAAGGAATTTGTATTTCGGAGTTTAATTAATATATCGATATGTAGATGTTCTATTCATAGACTCTTTAATTTGTACAAACATTTTCAAATAAATTATGGAAAAATACATGTTTTATTCTTAAGGCTTAAGAGCGCTCTCTGTGACTATTGTGAAGTTCGTCTTTACTTTACTTAAAAAATTGTTTCAATAAGTACTGGTTTTTCCTAAATAAATCCACAAATGGCAACACTGCACACTGGCATTAGACCGCTGTCAGGTTAATACGTTTGCAGTTTCATGTCTGTCCCATTAAATTATACTTGTGCTGTACTAGCTGTTTTAGTAAGTGTGTCCCCGCGTAAGTCCTTTCCATTTGTTGTTTATATCATACAGTTCACTAACTGCTTTCAAGGCGCGTCCCTATTTACACAATACATCATTACCATAGGACCTAATTTCTATTAGAAAAGCCCAATTTGTATGGTGCTGCTCTCCTCAAAAGTGTTATACCCATATACAAATATTGTGTCTAAAACCAACCATAATGATGTTGCTTCCTTTTGACTGGTTTGTTGAATAGTGGGGGATTAAATGAGGAACAGCTAATAATAGTAGAAGTATTCTATTTTTTAAATTACTACATATTAACATAAATTGGCTAAAAATCAAAATGACTAGGACACAATGAAAAATAATTGACATAATTTAAAGTCTATGTACTCTGAAATAAATCGACGACACAGATGATGCACGGTCTAACCAGTTTTTATTAATGTAAATGGATTTTTTTTTAACCATCACGTGAAATGAATAAGTAACTAGCATTAAAAAGGTCTTAAACCCTACTGAAGTATTTGATTTTGCTGTTGAATCAATAAGATAAATAATATTAATCGCTTCACCGTCTAATTCTCTTCTTCGACGTCCGCACGCGCCTCTGTCTCTTCTGGATTTTCATTAATCACTTTCTCATCGAGTGACGTTTTTGACAATTGACGCAGTATCTTCTCGAAGATTTTCGGCGCACTCTTCGTGTTCGGCAACGAAATGTCAGTCTGTGTCGGTACCGTCTCGCATCTCTTTTCCTCTTTGACCTCCAGCGGTAGCGCTGTCTCTTTCAGATTCAACGACAGTGACTTTTTTCTTATTTCTTTCTCTGGATCTATGGTATCTATATCTTGCTTTAGCAAATCTCGTTCTTTCGATTGTCTCTCCATAGCTTTTGTTAGTACGTTGCCTAAAATATGCGTGCATTTTATTATATTTTGTGTTTCCCGGGGGGTTAAATGCAACCCTTCGTTCCGAATAATATAGTTAATGTTACTGATATCTTCTGGTGAGCGTTTGAGTGCTTCGTTGGAGAGATCTGAAATGTTTTATTGGGTACTTTTAATTTAACTTCTTAAGTTAAAAGGGGAAATTCAAGAAAGGTTGTATTACCCAAGTCCGTAAGATCAAAGTCCTCGGTGCGGTAGGGCGTTGGACATTGGTCGTAGTATCTGTTGATGGGGACCCTTGCCAACGAGTTATTGTAATTCGCCCAAAAGTTACTCCATTCGCCTGGAACTTTCGCTTCAGACTCTTGCCAGGTGCTCACGCAGCAACTAGAGGGGATATAAACCTTTTAACGCTCGTGCCGTATTTTTTTTCAAATGTTAAATGACTTGAACCTTCTATAAGAGGGCTTATATTTTAGTCTTCTAAAACTATTAATTATTTCTTTGTCAGAAACTTCAAAAAGTTTCCCGCCAATGAAGAACAATATTATATCTCTGTCTCAAACAAAGTATTAGGTATACAAAAATCAAGAAACCTGTCAAGTAAATCCTGACTCCTGGATGACATCATGGTGTCTGGTGGGAATTGGACGCTCTCACTCGAAGAGGGAACTGATATTGGAGACGCGGAGGAGCACTCCATTTCGGTGCTCATTGTATGCCTTAAACGAACGAATGAGACAAAAGAACATATAATATTCATTTAATTATAGGTATTTATATATTAAATGTGTTTCACACCTATATGTACTACCGCTTGACTTATAGCTATCGCGACTAAAGGAACTCTCCTTGCTCCTGGATTCCATGGATTTGTTATGTTTGTCTGTCAATACACTCTGAATCAACCGCCTGTGCACCTTCTTGGGTGTCGACGTCGTGAACTTCTTAATTCCGTATTTGGAATTTGTGTCCTCAAAATCCGAGACCTGGCACAAACGTTAGTTCAAGAATTAAATTATCTAAGAAGTAGAATTTAAGATTTAGATACAGTACGTATGAACAAGTCTTTGTTCAAATTGACCAGTAATTTATTGAATTAACTCATTTAATGAATGAAAAAACCCGAGTGTTTTCAAATATTACTTGTGACAAATCCAGAGAGAGGTCATCTTCCAAGGATGCCTCTCTGCTCTTCTGAGTAATCTTCTTTGGCGAATCGACTCTCTTCTTGAGCAGGGATTCGGTGGATTGGCGCCGGTGGTAGCCGCCCGGCAGGGAACTGGCTCGCTCGCTTCTACAGTACAATTCATTGATATGATTTCGTGGTCAAAAGATTTAACATAAAACGCTTAACATCAAACTTACACTAGATACGAAATTTTGAAATCTAATATAAGTAAATAGATTATTTAATAACAAGGCACAATGGACGAGAACTGTCGAGGTCCTAAATGTATTGCGCGAAAAAGCAGATATTTTTTACAGTCCTCGGGGTGAACTCTCAAATACATTAATGTTTATTTTGAGTTACGATATAAGATAGTATGATTTAAGTTTATATATTTTTGTTCTATCATATATATATTGTTTCGTTTTTTACGATCTCTGTCGCATTGGATTCCATCTGCCATGACAGTGCATATATGTAAATATTAAATAAATAAATAAAATAGGTCAAGATCACGTATGAGCCATGAAGCCGGTCGTTGTACTTCATTCTAGTAAATGCCGTTAATTGTTTGTTATTTATTTTATATATTTTGAGATTAATTGCCTCTGCCCAACCGAAACTGTTTCTTCCAGGCAATATAACCCAAAACTTATCTCTAAGCTATAGTCCAAACGAAGGCTTTTTAGGTAGAGGGTTAAGCTCACTTCTTCAATATCTGCTTGCCAGTGACAAGAAAATCAAAGCTCTTTTGTGTCTTCTTCGGAGTCGTGTTCGCCGAATGAGGCTTGTCTACACTACTTCGCCTCGAGAGACTGGCGGAATTCCTCCTCGATGCTGGTCGGCTTTTCTCCGGTTCTTCCGGGTCCGGTTTGTGCATTTTCCCTGGACAAAAGATCCTGAATCACCGAATTATCGCCTACATATTGCACCAATGGATTGGGCGAATAATTAATTACGAAACATGGAACAATTGTTAGATAACTTACCTTATGTCTATGATAAAATTGACGGTCCTTATTAAGCGAGTATTAAGCTACTTACCTAAGTATCCATGAACGAGAAGCACATAATAACTCTATTATTTTCACCAATATCCACTCGCGGCGCATTTCAAACTGAGTATTAAACACGATAAAACGTTCATCACGCCTGAGTGGGCCCACGGACATCAGCTCACGAGCGGAGCGGGAGCGACTTAATTATCTTTGTCACTTGAACTATAAAGAACTAATAACATAAATATTTACTTATAAAAATCGCTTTTTTAAAGAAATAGTAACTATATCAAATGAGATTTGTGTACCCAATCAATCATACGGGACTCTTTTTGCACGAGACTTGCACTTGGCTGGTTGCCAAAATTATGTTAATTTAAAGTAGTCTACGTGACAAACACAATATCATAATATATATGAATCACTAACAAAAATGATTTGATAACGAATTGTAACATTAACAGCAATTTCGTGTATAAAATTACAATTTAAATACCTAATTCTGAATCTTTATTCGATAGAAAGCTGCTTACAAACGATTTAATTATAACATTAGAGTTTTCTTTCTGAACATATTCATATTATTATATTACATTGATTGCATAATATACTTTATATGGTTTATGGACAAAAAGCTTTGAATGCACTCAATGAAAATTATGAAAGTATTTTATTATCTATAAACTTGCAAACCATAATTTACTTAACTGTTGTTACCACTTGTTGACGTCGCTTTGAGAAATAGTATATATAGCTTCGTCTCTTATCTGATAGAAAAATAAACTTTAGACAACTCGTAAATCCAAGAAGCTTTGCAAAATAGTCGCAAAAGCCCAATTCAACATTTTACTGTATATGTATAAATGATTTTCGACTTTGAATGCCTAGTATAGTGAATAAGTGGGTATATAAAAATACAGATTTTGACGTTGAATAATGTACTAACTAAATAATATTTCATACTTGTTAAGGAGGTAAAACGTCGTGCCTAGTGTTGGCGAGTCGCTCCGCTCACAAGCGTGTCCCACCCCTTAATAAAGGATCATATGGGTGTTCAATGGAGCACGAGCCCTCTCGGGCTGACATTTAAATTTGACCTATTTGCGCAAACTCATTTTTCCAAGCTTGTGAGGCACGGAGGCCTAAACAACGAGACAAATACATATTCGTCAATTCATTGATTTATGTAGGGATAGGAAACTTAAAGAACTAGCTTTGTTGCAAAAACAAAAATGTTGGTGATTACTATTACGTATAAAGACCAATATAAGCCACTTTTCGTATTAATGCGAGTAACACCGCGGGCTGTTGCAAGTTATGCTTAGATGGTGGACAATGGCTGCGTAACAATTTGGGTTATGAATATATTGACATTTTGCAGATTTTTTAATTACATAACAACTTTCATATTGCGTTTGAGTTTTACAAATTATTGTGTAATTAACAATTAACCTTTTGTTAAGAAACTTTCGCTAATTCCGAGCGATTACTGACTATATAGTATATGATAATGTTCTTAGATATAAGATCTTTAGGTTTTTGCGAACAAACAAAAGTTTCCGAAATGGTCTGTACAATTTTCACTCTTAAAACACATTTTAAGAATTCTAATCAGAATTTGTAGTTATGTATAAAAAGCATAACTGCAAAACGGCTGCACCAGAAGTGATAAGGTAGATAGTTTAACTGGAGAGTCTGATTATTATAATATAAATAAAGAATAAAAATTAATTAGTAGCGATACAAGAAATTTTGAACGGCCATAACTGTCTGTATAATGTCAACAAGAGTGTAAATTACTGAGCCGATACGAGTGAAACTTTCACTCTCAAGGCCATAGGGTTGCTTTCACTTTGTAGGGTGGCCGTGAAACAAAGGTCACTGAGACAAATTAAACTACGCAAAATAATAATTTAATATATATTAATTAAATAAATACTTATAATTTGGATATGATATTGTTCTTTTATTTAAGTATGTAATTATTTTTGCCGTTACCATAGAAATATTAGTTTTCTTTCGTTCTTACAACATTTCTCCTTACTACTACGCATAGTTGACAACGCATACTCGTGTGTCGTGTTGATTAAATATATAAAGAAAACATACTTATTGACAAAACATTGCCACACAAATTATTTACATTTCAATACGATACATTGCACGTATTAATGTAATACTCGTAAGTACAGTTCTTCTGACGTTTCGGCAGATGTCATTGTGTAGAATTCTGTACCCTCGTAAACCTTGTGGGGTACAGGAGGGCCTCATTACCTCTTCTTGCGAATAATGGTTATCGAAAACGTTAGGTTTTTAGGGAAGTCCATCCCTTTCATGTTTTAAGGTGACCCATAGAGTTATCTCTATTTTTTTTGGAAATTCGTCCACAGTATTATAGAACCGTGGGCAACCTATACTAATAGGGTGTTACGTAAAAAATTCCACACAGATGACCGTATCATATCTCCGGATCTCTCACAAACGAAATTCTTTGAATAACGACATTTTTATGATTACTCGCTGTGTTTTTAGTCAAGGGTGAACAAAATGGATGTTTTCAAATCAAACATCATTTGTTTGTGTAGGTACACTTATGAACGTCAATATAGTTAAAAATGTATAAATTGGGTATTTCACTACGGAGGGTAGGGTATGTACTTACCGCCTGGCTGAATAATTTTAAACTTAAATATGGCGTTAAAGTTCGGAAAAACTGTCAAGTACATATTTCTATTTGGGTTCTAAAAAGGTCACCGAGGGCATGTCTACTTTTTAAGTTAAAGCGAAATATCGAGAAAACACTTTTAAAAACTCAAATATTTATCGCCAGGGCGCGGCGCGAAGTGAAAAGTTGACACACACTTTCGCTGTGACGCAATTACCGTAAGTGCTAAATATGCTAATGTCTTGTGTTATGGTTATTGGACTACATCATGACAATTAATTAATATTAGTCCACGTAGATAACTCATAGATATTATTACTAGCACTTAGTATTATAAGTCAAAAATAAGCTTCAAAAAACTAAAAATCGTCCTTCTCGCCTACACATTCACCGTACGTCTTAAATAATTTAATTGACTCCGTGCCCTACTGATCTTTATTTTTTACCGTATTTAATATTAGTTCCTTTAATATCAATTAATATTTATAGTCTCACCCGTTCGGTGTCCACGGCTGGACATAGCCACATAGCCCTTCCTCTGTTTATATTTATAGGAAGCTTTACCTGACTGAAAAACAGCGCTGTGCGTTTTCCTTCGTGCAGCATTCAGTTGAGTCAGTATTCTGAGACACCACAATCATTTTCGTTTTGTGAATGTAGCTTTAAAATTTAAATCTACTGTTTCTGTTTTTTATCAGCTTTGTGGCAATACACACATTTTATTTATTTCTTGTCAAGCTGAACAATTTGTTTGTTTTTTAGTAAAATAAAATATACTTTATTCTCTTTAAAATTTAAAAAAATATTTAGATTCGAAGATGTTTGTCTGTCTGTCTGTCGTGATTTTACAGCGTTTCCAAGAGCAACATGACCGAGAACTTTTTTCCCGCAAATGAATTAGTAATTTTCAAGTTCAAATTATGTCTATCACTATTCTTGCTGAACTTGGTTTCAATTTTATTTTTGTATATAAGCTTCTTTCACTAAGAGAAAATACTAGAAGCAGTATTAATTTTCCTTCAACACCGGGAAAAAGTTAAATTATTTATTATTTAGCATGAGCACTTTCTTGTAATAAATTAACCTTTTAAATCAGATGTAACTTGAAAACTGGTGAGCATGGATTGTTAGGGACGACGGTTTAAGTCCCCGTGTTTTCGTTTTTATTAATCTACCTACAAATTTTTAAATTCTAATTGTTCATAAATATACAAATATCCTTCAGGGGCATTTTTAATCTCTGATAATGCTCGTAAAGTGTAAATCACGGACACAAAAGTGTGTCAAATCGAGCAGGATGTAAAGGTGTGTCCATTTGCATAATCGAAGAAAGCTGTCGGACATCTGAAGGCGTTTACGTCATCGAATAGGTACTACGCGTATTTCAACAAAACGGACATTTTAGAACAGAAACACTTGCAGTAGATAATAATTTTCAAGGCTAAAATATTCAGTTTGTTTATTTCTGCGAGCTTTATATAACTTTTCAGGGAATCAAATTTCAGACAAAGACATGAAAAGCGTGATCAATTTTTTCGACGACCTTTTAGCCAGTTTATATAAATGATAAGTGAATCGGACAGAATTGTACTGCACATCTCGAAACATATAAAGTCATTAATGTTAAGTATATTACTCGTAAAATTTTTCGGGTATTTAATCTATAGACTAACAAATCCTGAGCCCTGCTTAGTGTCGCAACATATAAAGTTTTGTCCCAGGAATTCGAACCTAACATATAACCTCTCGGGCGTAGCGTACTGTTTTACAGGTCAGACGTCATTGTATAGATCGAAAAGACATTATTCAAAACCGCGAAATCCGTCTCGCGAAGAGCTTCCGAAACGGCGCCTTTTCCCGCCTTAACTTGACAGGCTCAACTTTCATTCAGTCGGAAGCCCGCTGCCATCTTGGCGAGACGCGTCTAATTTGTATAATTGATTTAATTTTTTTAGTTAATTTAAATTCAATAAAGTGTCGTGCATGTGTCGTGTTAGTTATTGGATTTGCTGAAATAATGGTAAGGTTTTTTTTTGTTTCTCTTGAGTGCCGAAAATATTATAACGAAGTATTTAAACTAATTCCCGTGATATATGTACATATTTATGTACTCGAATTTGTAAAATACAGATACAGAAAGACTTATAAGATATATTTTTTTCTGAAAAGGCTGTGGTAGAAAAGGTCTATATTTTCCACGAACATAGAATTGTGTTAAATAAATTTGAATAATAAAAAAGTAGTTCACATAATTAATTAAAATAATGCAAAAATATTCAACTATTCATAATTATCAGACCGCGAGTTTAAAAATCTTCGCAAAAATATTGACCCACTTGACTTTCTTCCTTTGCTTAGAGGTTGTGGTTTTGGCACGATAGTTCTTCATTACAATCCTGAAACACCGTGAAATTTTCAAAAAAAAAATGCAAGTTATCTAAATTTCCCTGTATATATTGTACTATATAGATAATACCATCCCCGTCATCTTTATAAACTTAGCTGTTAGTCACGACGTCGATCGCGTCCCTTCTCGTCGTTCTTGCAAGTTAATCTGAAAAGATAGACATATAGTGTCGCTGACTTTTTTTTTGATCATTTATAGAGGAATCATTCTTTCATGCATCTTTTTTTGGGTAGGTTAAAGCGAATTTGCAGCGTACACCTCGCAGTATGTTTGCTCCCCATAATGACAGAGCGATATTTTATAGCCTATAGCCTTGCTCGACAAATGCTCTAATCAACACAGAATTTTTCAATTCGAATCCGTTACTCTTCAGTTTTATATATATTAGTATAGATATAGATAGTAAAGAATAGTAATATATTTAGACGTACATACCCAAATGTATGAGCATGTTTGAGATAATCTTCTCTTCTGCTGAACCGATTTTGAAAATAATTACACAGAATTAACTCGGAAACTTCATTGTAATATTGTAAGGAGACATATAATTATGTTATTTAGCGAAATAGTGTAACAACTAATTAAATGTTTGCATTTTCAAAATTACATTAAATGCGGAAGATTGGCATCGATTTATTGTCGATTCGGTTATCACTTATCCCTGTTATTGACATATTACATTAATTGTGTAAAATCGACGTCCACCTCTATGACCCGACCATTGGCCATTGACCCGACCATTCACCAACACGATTCAAAACCGGTACAAACATATCATTTTCATGCAATCGATTATTTTCATAATGTAAGCGACAGACATATTTCCGTGTCCGTTCCACTCGACAACATTTAGGAAAGGCGTCTACCGACCGGCGATTTCACAGTTCCCGCGTGCCTAATTGAAGACAATATAAATTATGTGTTCTTAAAAAATGTGAGAGGACTTTCACTTCATATTTACATAAAAATGCCTAAAACTCGTTATCGGTGTACTACAGCGCCATCTGTAAATACTTTCGATTGGACTAATTGGGTCCCGTCGTTTTACATGCGGTTCAATATTCGCAAAAGGATTTTGGTACTAAAGTCAATTCTCGTTCTGTGACCCGAACTCAATAAGCTACTAAAACTTAACATAAGATTATCGTTCCCTCTCTATCGTCCTTATCATCATAAGTAGGGCTTTAAGGCTAAAGGCTTTTATTTTTGTCTTGTAAACAAGACACTAACGTACAAACACACTTGCAACCCACATCTCTGTGTGACATTTCCTTCGTTTTGTATCCTTTGGAAAGTGCTTAAGAGTCATTTGACCAAATGAGCCGAAGGCGGAACCGAAGTTTCTATATGTGAAATGCATTTGGAACAATGATCGATTCTAATGTTTGCAATTTGCAAATGAAATGGGCTCAACGTTCAATTAGTAGCGTGTTAAGGCTCTCGAAGGCAGCCAACACAAACTACTAAATACATACTAAATGTATATAAATAATCATTAGTACTTCGTCACATGTCAGGATCATTCAACTCTTATACTAAAGCCTGAAGCTTAACTGAAAAATTGGATTTTTTATTCCTCCTTATTTCCGGCTTTAATAAATTACTTTTCATCGGTGCCTGGTGATTCGTCGTAGTATTGTCTATAATCCTACCACCTATTCAATAACCAATAATTATTAATTGATTAGAAACACGCTGGAGTCGGTGGTAACCGAATCCACGACCCGTTACAAATGTAGGCTTATTACGATAATTGTAGCAGATCAAACGAGATACGAGTGAAAGCATTTGGACTAAAAGCCTGTTATTAGAGCCAAAAGCCTTTTTAATTGCGCGTCGGCCGCGAGTTTTCGATGTTTATATAAAGCAGCCTAACATAAGTGTTAGTCATCAAGAAATAATGCAATATTCATTTTTAGTTATTTTTTTATAGCTACTTGCCGTGCCTGCGAATTCGTCCGCATGGAATAGTGTTTTGGGCTTAATTTTTTTATTTTCGCAATATATATTTATTATTATATATATCTTTAAAGGTTTATGCTCTTGCCCACGACGTCGTTCTTGCAAGTCAATCTCAAAAGATATATAGTCGGTATCTTAAAATATTCTACAAGTTATTTGCACTTTTTTATTCATATCGGGTTGTAGGGAAGAGATCGCTGATATTTAAAGCTGAAAAGTTTGTTCGTTTGAACGCGCTTATCTCAGCAATTACTAGTTCGAGTTGAAAATGTTTAGCGTTGGTTAAAAAACCATTTATCGAGGGAGACTATAAATATATATAATCGCGCTGAGACTAATAGGGACGAAGAACAATCGGAAAATTTTTGAAGAACGACGGAAGGCGACCGACCTCTTGGGTCGTGGTACATTTTGATGCTAATCACAACTATTTTTCGCGGAAGTCGCTGACACAGCTAGTGAATGAATATATGTTTATTTTCGTCCACTCTCGCTGATCTTCGAACATGCTGCATAGATTCTTGCGCGGTCGCAATATATTTAATTTGGGTCAGGTAATCATTGCATTTCGTGTTACCTCAAGTCCAAGTCCTCCGGGAACAGACCGAGGCGTATGTAAAGCTAGCTCAAGTCGACGGTGCTGCCATAGAGGTCAATGCACGTTTGATGACGTAACATTACTGAGCTTTCATTGTGGTTATTTTTCTATTATGGCGACCGCGAACATTGCTTGTTTTTCTGAGGGTAATAGATTCCGGTAGCACTGACTCAACAAGTATTCCAAAATAGTTTGCATTATGTTCTCCGTAATAGAGTTATGTCATGATCCCGGGAACCCCATTTAAAATGTTCAGCCGTTAAAAGATGACAAACTAACATAGATACGCCGTTGCGTTGTCGGAGATTTGGAAATCCACAAACTGGAGCCGCAGCGCGATTAAACATAATTCAGACAAATTATTATTTCATTAGAAAAATGTCACGTTGAACCCGGTGGGTCGAACCCACGCCCCGAAGATTATTACCCGATGATTATAGCCAACCATTACACCAGCAAGCCCGTCAAGTTTATTTGTTATATATTACTTATTGTATTTCTGTGTTATTCTTTATAATTTTGTGTGTGTTGAATAAATGCTTTGATTTAATTTGATTGGGAGTTCCAGAAATCACTTATTTACACTGAAAATTTATTTCAGTATGCGATACTTAATACGTGGTGTAAATATGAAATGACCGGATTGATTGTGATGAATTGTTCACTGGAGCCTTGTTAATGAATGTGCGCAGTATTTCGGCGCAGCACCTGCCGCCTGCGTCCGCGCAGTGTCAAGTGCGACGTGTCCATACATCCGTGTACGTAGAAATCAGAGAAAGCCGTGACCCGCTCGCATCTCGGCTACCGGTTCTTATCTCAGCGACAACGGCTTCGCCCTGCGCTGAGGGAGGCGGCGAGTGCTTTAGACCGAGGAGTCGCGACTTCGATCCGATCAAAAATTCAAGTTGTCATTTTTGGAGAGATTATTAATCAAATAATGTGTACACATAGTTTACGCTAGTATCGTTTAAATAAAGCACTGTTTAAAACGGTTTAAAACACGCGATATATTTCTATTTAGTCCCTCCGTGACCACGGCTGCTGCAGAACATTCGAAACTTCGGCCCGTAGTTATATAAAAAATATGTCAACAAAATTGTTGCACGTCCTAAAGTGTATTATTAAAGTGTGTATTGTAGTACAGACGGGAGTCAAACCCGTAACTAGATGTATTGAGATATGCAGTGAATGAAACTCGTGCGCATCTTCCGAAATCTGAGAGCGCAAGTGAAAGTCTCGTGTGTTGAACTTACGTTACGTAACCGCGTCGGATATCTTTCAGAGATATCTGTCAATTAGTCACTTGTTAACCTGTTAAAAATGGGAGGATCGATATTCCCCCCCCCCTCACTATTTTCAGTGTATTACTCTAATAGATTTGATCTACAGGTACCTTTACGCTTCCTCTCGCGCTTATAAGCAGTAATTGATAATCATTTGTGTCAGTCTTAGAAACGCATAAAATGAAAGCTCAGCTCTACGAGTGTTAGATTAAACCCAAATACGGTTAATTACTCGCGTGACTGGTTTCGCGCGATGCCCCACTTGGGGCACGGGGCGAACCGTGACTAGAAGGGTCCCGTCATACGTAACTTGCATTTTTGTGTTTATTAATGATCGAATAAAAACCTTAATTTTAAGGTAATATGTAGTACGGTGTTCTATTTTTGTCTTATATCAATTATTTTAATCTTATTAAATATGTTCCGTACCCCCACGACCACGACTGCTGCATAGCACCCGAAGGTCAAGCCGTAGTTAAATATTAATAAAAATTTAAAAACTACATATTTTATTACATAATGTTTAAAAATCTTAAAATATTACGACATGGACAGGACTTGAACTGGCATCCACATCGTTCCGATACCGTGTCCTCCACGCTACGCCATACGCCATATCTACGCAAACCTATACACGCACCTCTCGCGCAATGTAATTTTAATCTTAAAATTTGTTGATGTACGGAACGCTTCCGTTTCCGATGCTGGTTCAAGTCCTGTCTGTGTCATATGTCAGTTTCAACTCAGCGCCATAAGATAAGATAACATTATGTTAAACGCCTGTTGAGTGGATCTAGTTTTTAGTATAAATAATACGCATATCCGTCCTCGTTCGGTACCCGTTCTCTTCTGTGGATTATTTTTAATAAAGTTTTGATAGAGCTTCCAAATTAGTTTATTTCGCGGCCACTTTTCGCATGCCCGAAGTTCGTTACGTGACGTGTGACGTAACATCTGGTCGCGAGCGGTCAAGCGACATTCTCGGTGTGAAAGTGCAGGTTGAAAGCTTTGACCTTTTCTTACGGATGTGTTTAAGATGGGCCTCCGATATTTTGCACCTTCAATGGGCAAAAATACACACGAAAAGGTTTCCCGCGTGTGGCGAATTCTAAAAATACCTTCACTGACCTCTTAAGCACTATCTACTACTAGTAAACTATTTACGATAACACTTTAAACGGGTTACCTTATTTATTATTAATAGGATAAACGGTTGTTGTCCTTCCGTTAATCGAACCTTAATTAGAGGATCGGTGCGAGGAATAAAAGTAATTCATTTACATATTTGAATGATGAATTTTATTGTTGTTTTGTAAAAAAAAGATTTTATCGTCAACATGGGAAAGGAATTAGAATGCCATGCGCATTATTATAACATTTGAAACGATTATCATATTAATGGAATTGTTTTTTGTTTCAGTTTTTGAAATGGCGGGCGGTAAGTTCATTTCGTATATTTAGGAGGTCAAGAAATTTAAGTCCTATGCCCGCGTAAATTTCCACCGAGGCCCAGATGGTGTGTCGCTTGCGATCGCTTCAACGACGAGTAGTGGACATTCGAATCCTTGGGAATCATCCTACAACTGTTACGTTCGGTTAGGTTACGCAAAAATAAAATCAGCTTCCCCAGCGACGCGTTGAAGTGCAATCCATTTCTCAGATGGGCAAAAAGTCGCTTTCCTCGACACACAATGACTGACCTGGAGGAAAGAATGCGCAAAAGAACCCGGCACACTTCCTATTCACATCAGGGGAAAAAAACAATGAGAATTTATATCGCAATTAAAACAGCTGACCCGCAAACACAATGCTAATAGGCTGGGATATCTAGTGATGCGCTAGCGTCGATAGAACTTTAGATAATCGATATTTTGAAAAGCTATAAGTTGTAATAAGTGATTAATAACATTTTTATTCAATATGGCCGAGTGGCTCGAGCGAATCTAATTATTTTAATACTAGCTGGGTCTCTATTCGTTTTTGCAAACCTCCTCGTCATCTAAGTAAATATAAGCTGCTACCCACATCGGTTGCGTCCCGTCGCTCGATGCTTGGTTCTTGCAGATTAATCGTAAAAGATAGACATATCGGATATTTTTTTAGATCATTTAAAGAGGAATCACTCTTTCATATATATTTTTGAGTTTCTTGAACCGTTTTCGCAGCGTACGCATCGGAAACCCACAAAGATGAATACTTTTCCCCGGTTATTCCACATTTCCCGCTGTATCTTCGATCCTAGTAGTCACAAAGCGTTTAAAGCCTTCCTCGATAAAATCTCTAACCCACACAAAAATAATTTTCAACTCGAACCAGTAGTTCCTGAGATAAGATTACTCTTAATTATCGACTACCGCACATCACTACCTGCTAATTGGTTCAATCGGAAGTGATGAGAACGCCTGAGAGCGACATCGATTAATTCTCGTCAAATTCTAGTGCATTCGCGTCGCTTTTTCCTGGCTTTCGTTACGTTTCCTCCCTAACGTACTATGTTCTATGTATAGGACCTATTTGAATACGTATTCAATTAAACTTTTTGGTGATTTAAATAAAAGTTATGCAAGTTCTATAAGAGAAAATTATGAATATACATAGTATCCTTAGGTTTGGGCACAAAAGAGGGAACATGTATTCATATCGACAAGAAGGGGTGGGGGGAGAAGGAGGGTTGTGCTGTCGTATCGATTACTGATTGACCGATTGGAAACTGATTGTTTATTTGACTACCCTCTCTTAATCCTAGACTAAATACATGGCTAGGGTAAAGATTCAATTTCCATTTAACTATGTTGAAATTGACTCAATAATATGTATAATATATAAATTTGCATTTTTCAGTTGGTGCTGCTATGGTTGGCAGTGGTGGCAGCGGTGGCAGCTGATGATGCACCAGAAGTCTCTAAGGAGGAACAACACGATTTAGTCGCTGAGGCGTCACAGACAGGTACTTCTATTTATCTAAACGTAAATAAGCAATTCATACATATTTGCTTGTTGATTTCGTATATAAACTTGTGTTTTATAAAAATGTATATTGACGAGACGGGATGCGAAGTCAGACAACGTTTATATTCTACTATTACTAACCAAACTCTACGTGATTTGAAAAAGGTTTTATAGTCTTGCCTATGTTAACGTAACGAAAACTCATCTGAAAAGAAACAACATTTAAAACGATTGTTTCCCAGTTCTTTTAACATATCAAATTTCTTAATTTCGAATTCTCCTTCGTTATAAAGATACCATATATAAATATCAAAATTTCATTTTGTATTTGCGTCAGATAATAATATACACAGAATTAAGTGTTACATGTTATATTTTTTTCAATGTTTAACATTACATATTGTCGACCATAAACTGGAACTTCCACTTTTGTATTTTTAAATAAACTTCGATTATTACATTTTAAATGTTCTAACAACAATTTAAAAAGCGATTGTCAAATTTCCAGCGCCGCAAGCGCAGAACCGCGACGGCCTATCGAACTCCTACGGCGAGCCCCTACCTCCGGACGCCTATGGACCTCCGAGGGACATCAACGGTACCAACCTTTTTATAATATACTAAACGTACTCCTCAGTAGTACCCGCACATAAAAGTGCTAGGTATCACTGTTACATAACTATAGTAAAACTAAGTAAATATTTAGCGAGAACAGGACCTTCTTTTGGGGGGAAGTAATCTTTGTCATTGACCCATTGGTATTGGGGCATTTAAATATAAAAGAAGCCTTTCTCCTCACCTATATACCTTATATTCCGAGTGCTAGCCATATAGATATTTTTTTTTACTGAAATCAATCTAGTCATTTTAGAATTAAAGAGTGACAAACATGTTTGCATTCTCATAAAAATTTAGAAACTTTTCAACAAATTTAAAAACAAAATGAAATTGCTAGTTTTAATTGTATTAACATTTCTCTTCCAGACTCGCCTTTACCAGCGCCCGTTTATGGTGTTCCTGAAACCATATTTCTGGACACACCGCCCGGTGCGTACGGCCCACCGGCTCCAGTGGTGTTTCCGAACCAGAACTATGAAGGACCACCACCCCCCGTAAAGCCGAAGCCCATTTATGGTCCACCAAAGTTCCATCCACCTAAACCTTCATACGGACTACCAAAACTGAGCTATGGACCACCTAAAAAGATATACGGACCACCTAAGCAGAGTCTGCCCAAACCCAATTATGGACTTCCATTTAAAGCGCCAAAAATATCTTACCCTAAGCCAGTGTACGGACCTCCGAAACCAGTGTACGGTCCTCCGAAACCTATCTACGGGCCACCTAAAATAAGCTACGGAACTCCGCTAGACGTCCAAAACATTCAATTCCCCCTAACTCTTTCCCAAAATTTTGGCACCATTGGCATCGGTCCTGACGTTGGATCCACATTTAGTACCGTTGAAACTAGCATCGGCACTAACTTCGGCTCCAGCTTCGACCTTCCAGCACCGATATATGGAACCCCATTCCCCAACCTTCCTGTCAACTTAAAACCAAACTTCCCAATTCCCTCGGATTCCTATGGACCTCCAGGGTTACCGCTAGGGCCGAATGACCAGGTGGTTGTACAGGATATCGGCAGTATAGGTCATTATGGTCCGCCACAACCGGATCCAAACCCTCGCCCACCACATCCGGGTATACCGGCACCTCCGACACCACCTCACGTATTGTACGATGGTTGGAGACCAATTCCAGGGGTATCTAAGCCACTCGAGAGCTTTGACCAGATCCAAGGTCACTTAGGGCACCAGTCGCAAGCTCATTTAGAGTTAGACCAATACGGTCCACCTCCACCGCCGCCTCCAGTTATCCAATCCTTGGAACAGTCTCTACCAAATTTGGAACACCAATTCTCCGGAGCGCAAATCTCAAGTGGGTACTCGACAGTACACCAAGATGCGTTATCCGACATCGACTTGAACGCTCTAGTTGGCGGCGATTCAAATCATATAGACCAATCTAAGACCGTTTTCGAAGCGCACTATACTGAGAAACATCCGCAAGACTTGCAGTTCCATCAGAATAAGCCGGCTAATGTCTATGGATTGCCAGAACCGATATCGTTTGTGACTCCGAGACAGCAAGGCGCTAAAGGTCTAATCCCACCGTCTGGCATCTACGGCGTACCACCGGGTAACCAATACGGCGTCCCACCGCGGCCGGCGAACCTACCCATCCCATACGGTGCCGTATCAGGCGGTGGCCACTCCCACGGTGTCAATGTCCCGCGCCATCCGATCAAATTCCGCGAATCCGTGCCGGAAGGTCTAATCCAACAGATCGGACAGATATCTCAGCACAAAGACCACCACAGCATAGATCATTTGAAATCCGGGCCCGCGTACCTTCCGCCGCCAATAAGAGAAGTTAAGGACATTAATCATCAGACGGGGAACCTTGGCATTAACAATTTAGCGCTAGCTATCGAACCCACTAACCTTTACAGCTTACCTCACGCCGGTAGTCCACTCACCTTCCAGGCTCCAGGGAATCTGTATGGATCCCCCGTCGACTCTTATTCTGTTCCACTGAACACCGTCGCAGATCATACAGCATCTGGTTCCAGTGCGAATGCTGTTACGGCGAGCCTAGACGGCACGATACTAGCCAATCTGAGTAATCTGGAAGCGGCCGCGATCTTAAAGCACTGTCCGTATCACGAGGCTATTTTGAAGGCTGCTCAATCTGGCGAAAAGATACCAGCAGATTTGGCGTCAAAATACGTCGCTAGCTTAAGTTCTTTGGGTTCCACGCTTTTAAAGAATAAGCAGGCATCACAGAGCTTTAAGACTCCAGAAACTTTCACCAAAGAATTTTCGTCGGCATCTCAGACAGTGCAAACCGTATACCCTAGCAACCAAATAGGAAGCGAAAAGACCATTCGTTCTACTATACAAAACGGAAAGTCATTGAAGGACGAGTTCAAGCAAAACTCGTTGCAGCACGTTTCGGATCAGATATACCGAACCTCAGAGAAGATCAAAAACTTAAGCGAACAGACGAGGAAACTGCAACAGAAAATAGCGTCGACTAGTCAGAACATATCGCCGACCGAAAACAAATCCTTCGCTGTACAGATCCAGTCCTCGGACGGGAAGAAACCGACAATACCGCACGAGCAGCTACTGTCCGAGGGCTTATTGCAGAGCATTTTGCAAGCGATCGAGCAGCCGCAGCGAAAAGATTTCCAGAACTATCAACCGGTGAACCACGGCGGGTTGGTCCTGCCCGATGGCTACGAACCGGTAGACAGAACGAAAAACAAAGACTTAGAAGTGCAGAGCTCTAACGAGGTCGCAGTCAAAGTGCCAATAAAGAAAGACTGCGATCTGAAGGCTGATACTTCTATCCGCCATGAGGTTATAGTAGCGCCCCCCGGGGTTTCGTCCGCTAAAGTCGAAGATGTAGACAACGACGTAGCTATATATTTTGACAAGGCCGACACTGTGACAGAAATATCTGTAGCGACGAGTATAAGTGAAGATAGAGAGTCCAAGTCGTGATGTACAAGTTTCTAGTCTTTAAATGACCACTGAGCAGTGACAGCTCTGGTGAACATCCTTCGATTTTGCTGACTCAAAGAACTTCTCATATTTTTTTTATTCGTGTAATTTAATTTAATAAGTTATAACGAGTATAAATAACTCAAGATATTCTACTTATTAAAGAATTTAATTTTGGATCACTACTGTGTAAAAACACCAATGAAAAATAATTCTTACTTGTTTATTCGATGAGTCATTCCTATCGTTATAAAGGTATGCTATAAAACTAATTTAATATTTGTGTTCTACTACTAATTTAATGTTGTGTTTGTGTTCGTTACAACGATAGGTATGTCTTTCACGAAAGCTCACCGCTGCCATTTTCACTGTTAATCTTCAGGATTTAATTTATTTGTAAGTTATTTAAATATTGTAAACAACGCCATCTATCGTTTTGAATCCCATTCACAAATCGGTCTTAAATGTTGTCGAATCGTCGATTGGGCTTCAAAAATATTAGATAGTTATTTATTTTAATCTAATTCTAACTTTGTGTAATGGAAGAGGCTAATCAATAAAATATATTGATTATTAATTTTGTTTTATTTTTAAACTATCGTAAACGAATTGAATAATATCATTATACAATATGCTATATATACATCACTTGTAGATATTGATATTATAGTCTGTAGTTCAAATATATAAAATATATATCTATTGTAATTTATAATACGCTGTAAATACTAATCATCTGTGTTGTCAATGTCAATCTGAAGTGGCAGTTGACGATTAAACTTTGATCAGTTTCCTTTTTGTTTTTATTAAGCAAAGGAAAGAAAGGTTGTTTTTGTGTCGAATAAAGATAATATCGGACTAGTTAAATCAAATGAATAAAAATATTGATGTATCGTACATTTGTGAGTTGTGTTTAAGTAAAGATCGGGTCGTGACGAGTCATTGTGATGAAATATTTGAAGTATATAAGGAACTGCTCGGAAATGATGTTTCACGGTTTTTACTGGAAAAATCAGAGAACAACATTACTTCTGTACGTATTATTTAACTAATGACGCCCCCACGTCGATTATTGCAAATTTAGATAATATAATTGGAGCGATGTTTCTTAGCTGACAACATCACGTCAGACAGTGTTTAAAAATGCACCTGCACTTTTGTAGGAAACTAGCGAGCAATCCCATGATGCTATGCATATAACAAATATGTTTTGTTTTAAGCTCTGTTTATCCCATATTTCAGAATGCAATGCAGAAGATCAATGTTTGTTGGGAGTGTAAATGTGTGTTGTCAAAGATTATAAAATTTAAAGAACAGATAAAGATAGCTCAATCAAATTGGGTAAGTATTACTATTAAATATGGTGGTAATAAGTTTTGTTTGTAAGTTGCTTAGTTTCAGACCGAACAACTGTGAGCAACAGGAACTTTTTCATTCATTTTTGCAATTTATGCAATTGTCCACACACCCACAAGTAATATTAATGCCTTTTTAGCTTCAAAAGTCATTTACTACACTCTCAAGTCTAAAATATACAAACAATCTCATATTAGACTGTGTGAATCCAGAGGATATTAAAGACACAACAATTATTAAAAATGAAGAGATTTATCAATATAATAAAAGGCCTACGGATTGCACTTTTAGTTTAAATGTGCCACGGCAAGAAAATAGTATCAATGAAACGCTACATGTCAATTACGATGATGTTAAAGTTGATGTATTTTGTCATCAATATAATCACACAGATAATTTTGATACATTCGATGAAGACCTGCATAATTTTAATGTGAGTACATGAAAGCTATTCAAATATATCTAAATAATAAACACCTATATGGAGAAATTTGGCCTAGAGTTTGATCCCTGGCTTGTATATAATAAATACTTAAATACTGTCTATAGTTTACGCAAGTAGTACACATTTAAATAAAACACTTTAACGGTTTAAAACGCGGTCTTCCAGTGACCACGGCTGCTGCAAAGCATCTAAAACGTCAGGCCGAAGTTAAAAATCATTTTAAAATAAGTTTAACTAGTATATCACGTTTTAAACCGTTAGTGTTTTAATAAATACTTATCTAAAATACCTTTTTTAGTTGGACACCAAAGCAATGAAAACAGTTGATGAATTTAATGAATCAGATGACGAGCCACTCACTAAAAAGAAGACAAAACAAAAGGAGAAGAAGAGTAAAGAAGGTAAGAATTAACATTTATACACTACCTGTTGACCTTCTGCGATTGAGAAGTTTTGTTGTTCCATTGACACAATTCTACTTCACAAAATATGGGAATCCAGGATTTGATTCTTGAAATATACAGAGATGTCACTTTCTATTAAATTCGCTTTTTTTAATAGAAAAAAGAAGGGAAAGGGAGTCTGGTGTAGTGATAAACCCTCGTGTGATGAAGAAACTACAACAACTCAATGTGACCTCTGATCACCTAGAAATGGTTATGCTTAGTTGGGATGAGGTGAGTAAGTGATGAACTACTAGTGAATGGTTGTAAAATAAATGTGTCTATTGTTGACATCTGCATATTTGAGCTGATTTCCACCAAGATGATATTTCGATTAATTCACAGTAATTAAAACTAACTTACTGTCAATTAATCTAAATATCAATTATTAAAAAGATTCCCCAATTCTTTTGCAAATGGTGGTATCAAAGAGGTTTTTCACAGGTGGAGTCAGAACGAAAGCAGAGTGTTGCTACTGAGAAATTCACTCGCCACGCCCACAAGTGTTACCAGTGCGTGGTTGGGTTCAATCATAGATGCAAACTGGAAGAGCATATGAAGAAACATAAACAGGTAGGAAAATTTAGACTCACATTATGTTGAGGCTTGTGACATTTCGGAAAACTGCCTCTAGTTCAAAGCAAAGCGAAGTACACGTCATTAATATCAGTTAATTATTTTTGTACTTCAGTCTCCTGGCAGCGCCGAGTGTGAAGTGTGTCATATTTTCTGCAAAGATCAGCCGGCTTTGGCCTCTCACAGACGAAGACATAGGGTTCGGTGAGTTTCATTGCTTTGGCCACTCTAGGTACCTTGATGGAATATCCAAAACTAAATAGGTAGACAGAGATTTTTGTTTAAATGTTATATGGCTAGGGTTTCACCTTTTATCAAGTAGAGTCTCTGGTTCCTCTATCATTATAAGAATAGACACTAAATTTTTCTTACTTTCACAACACCACAAGGATAAGGGTAAATAAAATATTTTTATATTTGCTCCTGCCAACACTAGCTGGCGCTGTCGGAAGTGCGGTGGTTCCTGGTCGCGGGCCAGCGTCGCCGCCGACCACGTGTTCAAGCACCACGGGGCACCTGCCCCCACGCACTCCTGTACCATGTGTGACGTCACCACGGTGTGAGAAGTTTTCTAGTAACAGTAAAACTCATTAATCGGACTGTCATTATGTTATTATCAGTTCTTTAACAAAAATTTGTTAAAGAACTCTAATTGTTCTCTATAATATTTAGTAATAATAGTAGGTACTATGTAAAAATCAACTCTCCAACAGCCTTTAAATAAATAAATAATTTCAGAACGCTCGGCAAGCTGCGCAACCACATAAGGAAGTCCCACTCGACGCAGCACAAGTGCGACCTCTGCGGGAAAGTGTTCCGCGACAAGACCTCGTTGAGGACTCACCTCTTGTGAGTGAGTTCATCTATCTACACTAAGATTATAAAGCCGACGAGTTTGTTTGTCTGTTTGAACGCGCTAAACGCGGTAAGGTATTTGTAGAGTAAGGCTAGGTGACATTGCGCTGCGATCATTAGGATTAAAGAAACGGACGGAAATGTGGAAGCAGCGGGGAAAATTCTTCATCTATGAGAGTCTCCGTGGCGTGCGCTGCGAAAACGGTTCAATGTTCTGAAAAAATATCTATAAAAGGTTGTTCCTCTTTAAATAACTAAATAGTCTATCTTTTAAGATTTACCTGGAAAGGCGGGAAGCGACGCGAGGAGGAGGGTTCGCAAAATCAAACTTTGATGTCCAAAATAAGTATTATATACGGAAGAAGTCGCTGGCGCAGCTAGTTTAGCGTAAATATGGGAGTACAGTCGTTCGTTCTTCCTTTACGCCACATTATTGATAAACTAACCAGGAAGTCTGAAGATTTAAAAGAATAACGTCTCCGTTACGTCCGGAAAACTCCACCTTTCAGCATTCACCGGGGCGTTAAGGAGTACAGCTGTCCCAAATGCGAAAAGCAGTTTCTCTTCAAGAAGGCAATGGAGATACATCTCGTGACGCACGACTCGCCGGCGAACATGTACTGCCACGAGGTGAGAGGGCTGACTGACTTTTAGCAATTCTTAACACACTAACAGCCTAATAGCATACTGTCTATAGTTTACGCGAGTAGTACACATTTAAATAAAACACTTTAACGGTTTAAAACGCGATATATTAGTTAAACTTATTTGAAATAGCCTAATAGCACATAAGTTAATGCTTTTGATGGACTTCTACTTTTGCTGGCTTAGGTAATGAAATTGTAGAAGAGTGTAGAGTAATGGTAGCAATCTATGACCAAGGGGTCGCGGGTTCGAGCCCCACTGAATCCAACGTTTTCTAATCAATTTATTATTTTTTTAAGATTATAATTTTATTAAACGGGTGGTAGGATTATCGAAATTTCTTCCGGAACGCGAACCTCCATCTAAGGACAAAAAATGCGACAAGTTTAATCGCGTGTCGGTTTCAGTCTGTGGATTCTCGAATATCCAAAACCAAAATAAGTTGATAACAGATATGGTTTACACGTTATATGGCTGCCCTATGCTTGTCCTCCTCTATCATCTTTTCTTAAATGTCATATGTCTTTTCAGTGTGACGTCACGTTCAAGAACCAAATGTCGTATAACCAGCACATGAAGTACAATCTGAAACACATCGATCCTGCCAGGCTCAAGTGAGTGCCCTTTCACGGACGGAATGAAAGAAGAGAGACAACTCTCGCTGTGTCACAGGCCAAAATGGACTTTAATACTTCTATTAACTCATAACACAATTACAGTGGCCTCTTCTATCGCTACATGTGTAATAATATTTTAGATACGCCTGCACTCTTTGCGAGAAGAAGTTCGTGAAAGCGGCCCGCCTGCAGGAGCACAACATGGCGGTTCATTTAAAAATCACGCCGATACAATGCCCTATTACCGGCTGCCAATTCGTAAGTTGACACTTTGCCGTTTACTATAAGGTGTCGCTGCATTAAATACATTTAATCGTCTGTCGTAGGCTTGTTCGTCCCGCTCCGTGCTCCGGACTCACAGGCGAGTGGCCCACGGGCGAGCGGTCCAGAAGAGGGACCACGTTTGTGACATGTGCGGGAAAGCTTATACGGTATAAATCAAAGTCTGTAATAAAATCGATCGTAGATTTGCGTTTTATTATATGTATTTGAATGTAATCTTTAGACGAAGAAGAGTCTCGAGGGCCACCTGCGCACGCACAGCGGAGAACGGCCTTTCCACTGCGCCAAGTGCCCGGCTGCGTTCGGATATGAGGCGGCGTTGTATAACCATAACAAGCTCGTGCATTTGAAACACAAGGTGAGGTGCACGTCGAGGCCTAATTAATAAAAACTAATTTTATTATCAAACAATGCAAAGTCGAAGTAATGTTTATATTAAATTACGTTTCCGGCCGATTTTCACATACTCCAGCATCACGTTATGCATATTTTGAGAAAGGTTGAATGGATTTACAATTTGTATATAATATAAGCTTTGTTTATTGTTGTATATTAACTGTTAATATCTGAAACATTTGTTTACAACATTAGTTTAATTTGTTTTAGGTAAACCGAAATCGAGTGACACATACAAATTGGCCCGTCGATGTTTCTAATGTAGAATAATAAATATATTATATTTTTCAGTCTTTTTTACTTGAATATATATGAAAATGATGTAAATAATAAAGAGAGTATCCAAATATCAACAGCTGCCTTAAACATTAAACTTTTTAATGAAATAGTGGAGATCTAAACTCAAGGTGATTTTCGATGCAGCAGTAATCGATTAATCAAAAAGATTATCGTTTCAGGTGCTTTTCGAACGAAACTTTATAATGACAATTGACACATTTCAATCTCCACTACAGTTGTCAAAGCAACCTCAAAAATGGTTTCGTAACTCGTAAATAAACAACGAAAACATGAGTGTAACATTATTGTTTCGTCGTCTAAGGTTAACGCCAATTCAATTACGCGCATACACTGATCAGCCGAAAGCGTTGCGCAGTTTGAAACCCAAATCTTCGCGTAACAATGTTCAATTTTATGTTGATTCGTGTAGAGTTAGAACCGTCGCTGGTAAAGGAGGCGATGGCTGCATATCTTTCTTAAGTGCTTGGTGCAAAGAGCACGCTGGACCAGACGGGGGCGACGGTGGGCATGGCGGTCACATTATTTTTCAGGTGAATACAATACAGGCGGGACACAAAGAGCATATAGTATAAGCTATAATTCTCCTTTAACTGATTAACATTGTGACAATATTTACAGTTAATTTGACTTTACTAAATGATAAAGACAAGGCTCAATTGGTGATTCTATTGTATGATTGTTGCTAGTGAAATAAGTTAAGTAAAGCTGACTAGCTCTTTTTAGGCAACTCATTCAAAGAAAAGTTTAAACCATTGCAAATCAGTAATTGCCGCCAAGGATGGAGAAAGGGGCTTTAATAAAGACTGCCATGGTAAAAATGCACAGCATGTTGTTATAGAAGTCCCTTTAGGTGAGTTTTGGCTTTAGTTTTTATCATAGAGAATTACTAATTTATTCTCCTGATAGATATAAGGATATAAACAGTCTTACTTAATTTACAATACACATACACATGTTTAAGTAGTAAAGTTTCATTTAAGACACTGTTACACAGGGACCATAATACGAGATGTCTACGGGAGGGTTGTGGGTGATTTACAGGACGAAGGGGCCATGTTTGTGGCAGCGAGGGGGGGTGCTGGAGGGAGGGGTAATAAATTCTTTCTCACAGACACTGAGCAAGTGAGTGTCATCTATACTAATATATAAAGCTGCAGAGTGTGTTTGTATGTGTGAACACGCTTATCTCAGGAACTACTGGATTGAATTGAAAAATTATTTTTTTGTGGGATAGAGCATTTATTGAGGCTATGAAAAATAGCAGCGAAAAAACTTGTGAGTTTCCATTGCGTACACTGTGAAAATGGTTCAAGACAACAAGAAAATATGTAAATAAGAATGATCTATCTTTAAATGATCTTAAAAAAACGTCTGTGACAGTATATGTCTACTTTTGAGATTAACTTGCAAGAACGACTGGACCCGGACGACGTCGTGAGTAACAGTTAAAATGTATAGAGTTAAACAGGCGGTTTTGCAAAAACAAAAATTGATACCCGAAATAACTATTCTACGCGTACGAAGTCGCTGACTCAGCTAGTTAATGATATAAAGCTTAAATGTGGCTTTATTAGGATATAAACTGTTATCTTAAAGTCAATTTTTTTTTTTAATCTTATTATCATAGGCATCACCTTGCCTTGCATTATTATATAGGCTGAAGAATTCTGTGTCTATGATCCATATAGACATGGATTATATCAAGTTAATTGTTTAGCCCATTTGTGGCAATAAAAAATGTTACCAATATGCTTAGGCTCCCGATGTAGCGGAATATGGGGCTATTGGGGAAACAGTGCAGTACTCCCTTGAGGTGAGATCTATGGCACACGTGGGACTAATCGGCTTTCCCAATGCTGGCAAAAGCACACTGCTAAGGGCTGTCACTAGAGCGCGACCCACAGTTGCCCCATACCCCTTTACGACACTAAGGCCGCATATAGGTGAGTGCTATATTTGCCCTAGAGTGGATAATAGGTAGGAGTTGGCTAATTGATTTACATTTTGTCAACATCAAATTTAAATTTTAATGCCAGGTATGATACCTTACGACGACTACGAACAGGTGGCGATAGCAGATTTACCTGGCCTAATTCCAGGATCACATAAAAATAAAGGACTCGGTAAGTCTTTGCATTTGTAGTGAAAAATGTAAAGTGCCTGTAGTAATGGGGAATTGAAATAAGACAATCTTCCTATTTTAGATTGAACGCAATTCTATTTTTAGGTATCCAATTTTTACGACACATCGAGAGATGCAAAGGCCTCGTATTTCTCTTGGACGGTACGAACGACCCGGTACAACAATATGAAGCCCTTAATTACGAATTATCACAATATAATGTAACATTAAACCAGAGACAACGCTGCGTTGCCATAAATAAGATAGACCTACCTGAAGTGAGGGAAATTTTACCGGAGTTTAGTAAAAAGATGAACGTAGTTGGAATTTCAGCGAAAACGGGGTTAAATTTAAATGAATTGTTAGTTATTATTAGGAACATGTATGATAATGTGTAAGCAAATAATATTCAATTTCGTCATAAAGTTTTACTAACCTAAAAGTAAATAATAAATAAAATGATTAAAGTGCTATAATTGAAGAACCAGGTAGAGGTTTAAACTACCCATCGCCTAGTTCCAAAGCTACGGCTAATACGATACGCAGGGAGCTACAAAATTGTATAATTTAGTACTGTATGGCCGTTGTAACTTGGCAGGCCTGATCTGAACGCGAGACGCTTCGCAGAAACGTTCTTTAGGATGTTAACGGTGGTAAGAGCGAGGCGCGGGACGAAGATCCAGGCTAGTGATTGACTCAGTGTCAACACAATCGACCGCTTTTTCTATCAAATTTTGTAATCGATTATTATCGATTTAGATTGTGGATTTTAAATCATATGAGATATGGTACTAAATGGATCGATAAACACAGTAAATGGTGTTGTTAATAAACAATACCATAATTACCTTTAAAGGAAAATAAAATCATTAAAAACTTTTTTCATTATTGAACTACCTGATTTAGTTAAATATGAGTAATTATTTATATAATTACTATTTATACCTTCTTTTATAAAATTATATTTCTACTATCCAATTTTGTCTATTTCAATAGGAATATTAAACGACACTCACAAGGATCGCGTATGGACATCTCTATTTGGTTCTTTCGAAAAGCTTCGTACATATTCGGTAATGTTCGGTAAACAGGAGTGCGTCTCGGTCAATCCTTGGTGTTAATTTCGTTATCTCTGTCTTGAGCGCAGTCCGTTAGAAAAGTGATTGTTTATTGTTAAATTTAATATTATTATTTTTTGTTACATTTAATATCTTTTTTTTTTACATTTTTGTTTTGTCCTTATTCTCTTTGAATCAATTATTGGTATGTTACTTTTGCTTGCTATAGGGAAATGTTTTTATTTATCCCAGTAAGGAAAATAAATGCAGTATTAGTTTTCTTTACGTGTGTACATGCGCCAAAGTTAGTTTAACCTCTGTTCAGAGCTGCCAAGTTACATCGGCCGTATTATAAATAGTGAAAAAATGTGCATTTTTGGGGAATAAAAATGTGAAAAAATAATTTAAGCATTATAATTTTACCAACTCAATATTGAAATTGTTCATATATATACAATCGATGATTGTTTTCCCTGTGGCATCAATTACACTCTATAAAATGCTCACCGGTTCTCTCTGGCTAAAAATCGGCCATTTTTTGCGGACTTTTGCTAAGTACTTGACACTGGCAAATAGTTAATTCTTCTTGCCACAAATGGAAAAAAAAAAGAAAACTGACCACAGTACAAATTTGCTGGTATCTGTAGGAGTAACATAAGCTGTATTATTAATGTAATCAAGGCAACTGTCAAAGAAAACCCGACATTGATTTTGACAGTTGACGTATAGTTATGGTTTATCGATATTCAAACAGATATCCTAGATATTTTTATTTGCGGACATAATGTAATAATTAAAATGTCTTTTCCTAAAGTAGAAGGATATATTTTTACCGAGAAACTGGGTTCTGGCAGCTACTCCACGGTGTATAAAGCTTACACAAAGGTAAAGTGGTGAATTTTATTGTAAACGTTTATTAAAGTTTTTATTTCATTGTGCCATGGATATGGACTAGAATAGTAATATTTCGATATAATATCCGTCCGTATTTTGCAATTTTAAAATTACCGGAATTGTTAATTTTGATCAATCTAGTATTTGAAGACTCATTGTGCTTGTTACATACTTAACTCTGAAACAATGTTTACAAAATTTTGTTTGTTCATTTTGAATGGTCTGGTCATTTTACATACAGTGCATAATTTGTAATTTAGATCGGGGCCCGCTCTACTGTAGCTATAAAATGTATCGACAAATCCCGAATAAAGCATTCTGGAGCGGCAGTTGATAATCTAGTATCAGAAATAAGGCTTATGAAGTCTCTATCCCATCCGCATATTGTGCATATGAAGGAATTCACGTGGGATTCCAAGTACGTAACTGCCTGTGTAATTTTGTTACCTGAGTATATTCATGAAAAAGAGTTCATAAAGCAATCCCTTTTAAGAAAAAGTACATCAAATAGTGGGTCTATCATAACTTATTTACTTGTTTTGATGAATAAGCTGAATATACTTACAAGTGGTAGAAAAAATAGTCTCCACTCTGTGTAGGAAAAGTAGGATTTTAAGTTTGAATAAAGGGTAATTTAATGTATCTAATAAAAAAGCAATAGTGTGTCATAATAAAAGGCAATGATTTAATGTTTTAGGAACATCTATATTATAATGGAGTACTGCTGTGGTGGTGATCTCTCCAAATATATTCTTCGATATGGGCGAGTACCAGAGAAACAGGTATATTCTTAATCAATTAAGATTTTTAAATATGTATAACCAAAATGTTAATAATTTCAAAAGTATTGCCCATTTATGTCATAAATATATAAATTCATATAATATGATTTTATATTCTAGGTTCTATACTTCTTGCAACAGCTCGCTTCAGCATTGAAATTCCTTCGTGAAAAAGGTAAAATATACAACAATAACAATACCCGTGTTTGTCTGTTTGTTCCCATTAATATTTGAATGGAGAGGAACAATTGTAATGTGACTAAAACTAGCAAACAAATAGCATTTTTTTATGTACTTTAGTATCTGGTTATACCTTGAAATGCATGCATACACTCCTTACTTTTTCATGTATCTACTGTAATCATTACTTTTCTTATTATGTTTGCGGTAGCTTCATCTTTATCTATAACTGTCTGTAACATTGTCTTCACGGAGAAAAGACTGACATAGTACTTATATGCATAACTTGGCTATTTCAGGTGTGGCTCACATGGACCTCAAACCCCACAATCTGCTGCTTCACAAGGGGCCTGATAGGAAATACGTCCTTAAAGTTGGAGATTTTGGGTAGGTTTTGTTCTTATTATTTAGAATAATATTTTTGGACATTGAAGAATTTTGTATTTTTATTTAAAACCTGCATCAATGTCTTTTACTTTAATCACTACTTTGACCACTTTGTAACAAACAAGGGGTTTGATGGATTTGTTGGTCTAATGGTAACAAAGTACAATAAAGCCCCTTATTGGAGCTTCCATTGATTCGCGTTTAACTATTCGCGGATTTAATAAGTAAACACATAATAATAAAAGGATAGCAAGAGGTATCCAATTTAATATTTTTTGTAAATGTCGACTAATGGATCAATACAATCTAATTTTTTTAGAAGCAAATTCGGTTGCGACTCAGTATCAATTTGCATTAAAGAAGCTTTTAAAAAAAAACTGCCAAGCAAGAGAACATTACAAAATTCTTGTACCAATTTCTACTGTATTCGCGGCATATTTATGGAACATATGCCCCGCGAATAATATGCTTTTACTCTATTACTAATAATTGACGGAAACTTTTACTAATCATTTCATGATTTATTAGTCTGTCGACAGCGCTTCTACTTGAGTATTTAACTCCCATCAAGCCGCTTCAGCCAACCATTTAATTTCTGTTCTAACAGATTTGCCCAACATCTGACTTCGGAGCAAATGCGTTGTATCCGAGGTTCCCCCCTCTATATGGCACCGGAAATGATAGCTGGAGCTTATGATGCACGAGTGGATCTCTGGAGTACGGGTCGGTGACTATTCTTGTCTGTAACAATTGTACAGAATATTGTTGCATGCCCTTGAATTGTTGTTTATCTCACAGGTGTGATAATGTACGAGTGTCTCTTCGGAAGAGCACCATACTCCTCCTCGACCATACAGGAGCTGATGGAAAAGGTGCAGAAGCAAGCTCCCATACAGGTGACGTTAAAATTCATATAATAGTATATTTTAATATGTTATATTATTATCAATATATGTCTCATTTTCTATGTATATAATGGTGTGTGTGAAAGAAAACCGAATCGATTTTATTTTGTTAGAGGTCCCCTTTCCTTCCCTATCTAACACTCACCAATAATTTCAGATTCCTGCCAACTCTTCAATATCTCCAGGTTGCCTGGACCTGCTAACCCGACTACTTCAGCACGACCCGAATAAGCGGATCTCGTATGAAGATTTCTTCTCCCACGAATATCTGGATTTAGAGCACATGCCATCTAAGGAGAATTATGATAAGGTAGGTATGTTATTAAGAATTCGAGTTTGGGTGAAGGAGATAGAGTTTACACGATGAGCTGACTCGTCTGTTATGACCATTGTTCACTTCCAGGCAGTGTCCCTGATAAAACAAGCGATAGAGCTGGACTGCAACGGTTGCCTGGAGGCAGCACTCCGGTGCTACAGCGAGAGCTTGCGATATCTGGTACCGGTGGTAGGAGTGGAGAGTGACGTCATGAGACGGAGCGCGCTCACCGCCAAACTCACTAGGTTAGCCAAGTGACACTTTGATTAAACGATGTACGCTGGTACTCCCTTTTTTCTGTCTTAAAAGTTGGAAAACTTCTCATTTTCTTCAGTTTGACTCACTTTGATTGACAACGTTTAGGGCTTAGATTCCAGTTTAATGTATATGTAAAGGACAACATTTACAGATATATGGAGAGAGCTGAAGAGATAAAGAGACATTTGAAGGCACAACAACAGGCACAAGTGTCGGACAGGACTAATGTCACTGAGGAGCCCCAAAACGAAGTCAGGGCTCCGCTGGCTAAGAGGGGCTCCTGTTGTGTAGTTGGCACTACATCGGGGAATAGTTATGACTTTAGTGAGTATCCCTCTAGAACCAACATATTTTTGCAAACTTTTTAGTCCAGTGAGTCTTAGTTAGTTTAAATGAGTCCCAGTGACTTTTTTAATTCAGATTGTGTTTTGTCACATTGTACTGGATATTTATTCAACTTTATTGTTTCAGGCGGCCCTCCAAGCAATAGTGATAACAATACCTCGGGACATAACGGTGCACATGTATCAAAAGAGGATACCTGTCCTCAGGAATACATAGCGAATTACGTTAATGAGGTATCTTTTACGAAGTGTTTAACTGCTTTTTTACTTAAGAGAGGTTTATAATAATTAGTTATGAATAAAATATGCAATTTCCAAAATTTTCAGCAGATGCAAGACAAGAAAGTCAAGGTAGATAAACCGCGTGGCTTAGCTCGCTTCTTCGGAAAACCCGTTCCCTATCTGGATAAGGATAATAGTGTGAGTTTTCACTCAATTTCTTTTATTTATTTGCAATATATAAATAATACATTAGTTTAGAGTAGAAAATGTTAAATATCTGTGATAACAGCCGAATTTGAATCCGGTTTTTGGCAATCTATGCCTTGATTTTATAATAATACAGATTGCCACATTACTTAAATTAAATTTATTAAAAAAGAACGTTTATTATGTTTATTTCAGGTAGACGATAAAAAAAGTGAGAAAATTGAAGATAACACGAACGATATGTGTAAAATATCATGAGAGTTTCGTTTGCATGTATTATGCCATTAAAAAGTTGATTCGATGTCAGACGTCATATGTCAGCTGTCATCTGTCAGTCACATTTAAATTTTACTGAAGGTTGTTAATTTCGTAATTCACCTTAAAAGAGGTTTCGATTGTGCCGTTGTGAAGTTAAGTGTGAAAGGGGTTTGACTCAAGGAAAGAAACGTGTCTTCACAATGCCCCACATTTATTCATTACTATATTAGCTTTCTTTTTAAAGGTAAATATCCTTTTGTAAATATTGTATAATTAAGACAACGCATAATTTTGCAGGAGACTGCAGTTCCATTTTTTATGAATTTATTAATATTTAAGTTGGAGTATTATTTTAATGCATTGTTATTCTGTTGTAGTTTATAGGTAAGATTATGTAACATAGTTAAGTTGTTTGTTGCTTAAATGATTTAAATTTGCACAGCCACTGTGTCTAAGTCGTGGAAGAGTTGCGTGATTTGTGAAAAAACGGCAATTGCTTTCAGAATGCTGCATTCTAAAAGTGTTAATAAATCCCCACATATAGGCCGTAGACCTCCGAAAACTTGTAAAAAGACTGACAAAATAATATAATATTTTGTAATTATTTCACCCTACCAGTGCAACGGGCGAGGACAGCCTGTACCTACCCACTCTTGCCATCAAACAACATTCATTTATTTGCGTCGTAACGTAAGCTGTGCGCCACCGTACAGAGAGTCATAAGATAAATGAAATCCAAGATTCACGCTTAGCTTCGATTTAACACTAGTCTTTATATTTATAAGTTCTATGGTTTGGACGAGCAACATTTGGAATGTTTCAGGTGAAGGAAAGTGTTACAGCAATAATATCAGGTGGAAAGTTGTTTCAGGTGAAGGAAAGTGTTACACAATAATAACTAAGTAAATCACAGATTATATTTAGTACAAGCTTTAGACACACCAGTGCCTTGGAACTTAATTTGTTTCAACGTTCTTTCAATAAATGTTTATATATTTCCCAATGGTTTCATCAGCCTACCCTGTTTTATTAAATTGTCCAAAATCTCATTATTAGCCAAATAAGCCACGCCCTTAAAGCGGCCACTTAGTCTTGGAAGATTAGAAAATCCTTTTCTTATTGCATATTTTTGTTGTGTCTAATTCGTTCTAAGGTTCAGGCCTCTACAGACATCTGGACGAACAAACGGTCATTGGGTGCAAATTATTTTATATGTATATATTTTTGTAAAGAAACCTAACTAAAGTTTAAGAAACGATTCTTCGTTGTAAAATGTAATCTCAAATATTGCGCGCTCGCACAGAGTCCAACCGCTGGCGATGTAGTTGTGATTGTCAGGTTTTTTTGATAGGTCTTTAACCTGTTTTTAGACTTCTTTCGCCGTTTAAAAAGTTATTTCTAACAGCGTAATGTCAACGTGGGCAGTTGCTAACTCACGTCGAATTCGGAGGTGAAGATAATTTGATAGTATTGAGGCTAATTATGAATTCGCCCAAAATTCTCGATGCGAGGATGCGGCACTAAGGACAGCGCTGTGGGGTGAGTTAGTGCTATAAGAATTATTTGAAACTATAAAAAGTCCCCCAATTTTATATTGTAATTTATCGATAACTTTGTAATATTCATTTTATAGGTACATTCTACCTAATATTGAGATCATTTGTTAATTCAAATACTTTATTGTCAGTGTAAATAAATATAATACTGTTAGGAAATACGTTTAACCCGCTAGGAATCGAATCCGTCGGTTATTAGTGATGTATTGATACCGTTGAGCCAATCATCAATTATCATGATCAAGTATTATGTATTACTACTATTATATTCGAAATCTACGGCCTAGTATTTTTTTTCATAATGAAAAAATACCACACTAACTTTGTAAAGTATAACCGCGGGAAAGTCGTCTGAAATGAATTAAATGTTTATTTCTAGTGCTAATGAAGAACTAACTGCGAACGTAATCAATGCAAGTAAGTAGAATATTAAATTTAGTTCCCAACTAACAAGGACATTCGCTAACACGGTAACAATTTGTTGCAGTGATTTCGTAACGCGCCTAACTCAACATTAACCAAAACTTATTTCAAGGTACATCCGATAGCCAACGGCCGACGACATCGTACACTTATCGTCACAGGCGCCATCCAAATTTGTTCTTCACTAATGGAATTTGGTGGCTCGTAGTTCTGGGCTTGGGCGGAACTGCGCTGGCCTTCATCGTCCTTCTTTCTAAGTTCTTAAGCCAGGCGCATGCCGTATGATTGTCTTTTAATAAATGGAATTTCACTAATGTTGTTTTTTGAGTTCCTACCTTAATGATTCTTCCGATACAGATTCCCGAGTCATTAGACAAGTGTCTTTACTTAAATGTTTTCCAGCCCTGTGTATGACATCTGCAGTGGCGGTGACATGGAAAAAAGGTTTCCCCCGCCACGAGGTCCTGCTTTCATGAACGCGTTTCGGGTCCGCGGGCCGATTCACGGCGAAGATACGTGCTTGGGAAGACATTTCTTCAAAATACTAGTTGTCGCTATTGTCGTTATCGGTGTACTATCTATAGCCGCCATCATTGTGGTCGCTGTACGGTCCTACGATTGACTTGATGTATAACGTAATTATAATGTTGCATAATATAATATATTGAAAGCGCAGTTATTTTATTTAACGTTTAAAAGCGTGGCATTCATATAGGCAGATCCGCCTCAGGAAAAAAAAATAGGGAATATTAAAGGAAAATTGTATATTTTTATAACATCGGGACTTTTCACCGAAAAAAAAAACGCTAACAATGACATTGTTTTTTTAAGGATTCGCAGTTAACTAAACGGACGTTTATCCGAAGAAAACGAAAGAAAGTAAAGAATAATGGCCAAATCGTACCTAGGCGACCAAAACTAAATATGCGTTATATAAACAAAAATTCGTTATTTTTTCTATTCCAAAATAATAAAATATTTAAAGTTAAAGTTGGTCGACAGAGCATCTTGTTTAGATGTTATAATCTGTGGTATTTCACCTCCCACCAAGTGACTTCAAGCTTGCTGTTCAGCTCTTTTATTAAAAAAAAAGTCATCGACGCGCTATCGATTGACATTTCGGATCACTGACACATGACTGTTGTGTCAGCCTCTTAAAAACTCATTCTGCTTTTCTTAAAAATACAAATTTATTTATTCAAAAATTTTGTTGAAACATACGTATTTATTAATTCTAACCTTAAAATTAATTTTGTTTAGTAAAAATTTAATTATTTTGGTTTTTTTTTAATGTTTTCATATATTTATTACATCAAAGTAAACCCTTTCTGTTCTGTTAATAGTCGCGAAAAATTTTATTCAGGTACAGTACTTATACAATTTTGGCCATTGTTTTTTACCAATCCATAGTCGAATACATGAACATTAACTCAATCTCATCTACATCTATGGACTATAGTAGTGCTGTGGCGGACGCTACCAAATTCCAAAATGGCTGCGATTTTTTGATCTTATATATCGCTGTCTTATATTGTCACTCGGTTGTAGTTTTAGAAATTGAATAATTATTATAATAGCATTTGTAACTGTGTGAGTTATTGTAATGTTGGTGTAGTTAGTTAAAAATTAAAGTTCTGCGGTGAAGACTGTTGACTTTACTCGCATGGAGTAACAATGACGCAGTTTTTACCACCAAATTTGCTCGCGCTATTCGCAGCGAGAGACCCTATACCATATTTGCCGCCGGCCGCTAAATTACCGCACGAGAAGAAACAAAAAGGCTACGATGGAGTCGGCGCTTTCCTTGACGTGTTTGAGGTTAGTTTCACCTCGAAGCCCTTCGGGATATACTTGAGGACTCGCGAAGACGGTTTCAAATGCTATTAAAATAAAGTTAAATAATCATTAAGATTTTGCAAATTTATCCCGTAGGGCTTTTTACTACTCTAATCAAAGTAACATCAAACGAGGGCCTCGATTGATGTGACTACTATCTACTACAACCTCCAAGTGTGCGCAAATCATATCAAAATAAATAGCACACGTTTGGATGTACCTTAAGTTTCATATATACATTTCTAGTAATGTCAAAAATAACTTGGGTATGTCATTGCCTCTTTCATATTTATATTTATAGAGAACCATAATTTTTTCATTTAATAAATTAAACTTTTGAATGTGTTTGCATTGTGATTGTACAGTCAAGAGAATACACTTACCAATGTTGTAATAATACACTTAAAATTGTTGCAGTTTTTTAAACTTAACATGCTCAAGGGAAATATTATTCCCATCAACAAAAATCATTATCATAAATCGCCTATGTAATGAGCTACCACTCACAGTTAGACTCTCACAGAGTCACACTATATTTAATGTCAGGGTCCAGCAATACTTTATTGGTAATGCTATTTAGCTTCGGCCTCGCTGGCTTTAGAATTAATCACATTTTGGATCTTCATATTATGCTTCTCTAGGTGTTAAGTGTGTTATTTTATCTATAAAGTATGTTTAGCTTTAGTAATTTAGTGTTAATTTCCAGTTTAAATTATCTTTTTATTGTATAATTTAATTTTTTATGTTGACTTTTGATTGTTTACTAAATTTATCTTCTTATTTCTACATGCAACGGTTGCCTGAAAGAAATCGCCATAGGCGATAAGGCCGCCTTTGCACAAACATGTTTTATTTGTATATATAATTCTAAGTATCCATGTTTTTAAGTCTATGTTTGTGCAATAAAGAGTTCTTATTATTATTATCAATTATTATTTAATTCATATTTTTTTAATGAATGTCAAAATAAAACATATGAAATTATAGGAAAGCTATACCATGCTATGTTTTCCTAGTGATATTCTCTTACTTTACACTTAAAATATTGCGTTATATTCCCATATTTAGTCTCTGCCATCTTATGATCCTGTAAGGGTAGGGGAGTCAATCAATTTCTTAATTGCCATAGCCTAACCGATGGGAAAGCATTAGTTGATCGTAATATACAGGTATATGTAAGAGTTAACACTTAAGCTATTGGACATTGCAAGATTTAATAGACTATCCTTTGTCATAGCACCCATCAGAAACTCCACCTCCTACTCGCGTGGAAACTAGAGAAGAGAGAATTGAACGGCGACGTCGGGAGAGAGCTGAGCAGACAGCTTACAAGTTGGAACAGGAGATAGCTCTATGGGATCCAAGTATTAATCCTCGGGCGACTGGAGATCCTTTCAAAACACTCTTTGTAGCTAGAGTTGTGAGTTTTGTTCAATATTTGTTTTCACTAAATATATTATTATTTAATCATTAACATTACATTGTCATGACAGGTGGAAGCCTAATTCGACACTTAAAAACTAACATAGAAATATAGATTACAATTAGACTATGACTTATAACTACTATTAACTAATATTAAATATCCTTAGTTTATCCATATGAAATTATAAACTGTAAACACTTTACGAGCTCACTCCATGCATCATAGAATATGTCCTTTTGGCTATGAAGTAGGTATACTGCCTCTACTTCTCGTCCAGGACGTTTTCCTAACAATCGTTCTAGAAAGGGTACCCTTATAAGACCCTATATAGCACAGCCTGTTAAAAACTTGTTACTACCAGATGCTAATATACAAAAAGAAATTATAACTTTTTATTGTCTTTATAGTTAGTAGAGTTGACAAGCTCTTAGGTGTAATGATAGAAATGTACTAATCAACTCGTCGTGGGTTTAATGCCTCACTGGGTCCAATATTTTTCTAATTAATCATTATGTGGGTGGCAGGAATATCGAAATTCTGTGCGAGCTCCGTCATGAACCATCATCCCACAGGTAAAAAAGTAGCAAAGTTAAATCGCGGTTCAGTCTGTGGATTTCCAAATATCCAAAGCCAAAAATAGTGAACCTCGTGCAATATTATGATAGAGGAGAACAGACAAGTCCTGCTCCATCATAAAATAAAAAAAGAACTGCTATAGTGTTATCAAAGTTGAAAGTTTACAATGCATTGCTCAATGTTTCCAGAACTATGACACGTCTGAATCCAAACTCAGAAGAGAGTTTGAAGGATACGGACCCATTAAAAAGGTAAAACAATTTGCGTCATTTATTTTGTACTTTTTAATGAGTGTTTATAGGTATTTGGTATTTTGTACAAATAATTTATCCTAAACTTATTTTTTATTAATACATATTTAATTGTAGAAACAGTTTTATTTTAAGGAAAACCAAAGACTTAACAAGATAAAATGTTTCTTTGCAGATCTATCTCGTATACAATAAGGAAGATGGAAAGCCTCGTGGCTACGCTTTTATTGAGTACGAACACGAACGGGACATGCACTGTGAGTACACAACGCGCACAATTGTGTATATTCTATACACCGATCCGTACCAGTGACACAGTACTAAACTGCTTTGTGGTAGTGGTCACTTTTTAATGGGCAATTTTTTTATGTTGTGATGTCATAGTGCCTTTACACGTAGGTTGTCTACTAAAAAGTTAAATCTACCCTAAAACTATTGAAAAGTGGCCATGGATATAAGCAATTTCTTATTTATTTAAATTTTATCAATTGCTCATTCAAATACTGAGAGATTTGTAATACCTTCTTGGAAATGCATTCAAAAAGGTCGTGACACGGCTCTTCTACACGGCTCCTACGTACCCAAGAAAGTAGTACAACGTTTGTAGGCCCGAGATGACATGATTAATGAGTGGTTTTTTCTATTCGCACCACAGACCCAGCCGTTATGACCAAAGCTACTCGAGTTCGTCCCAGTTATTAGGTTTGTATGTGGTAAGACGCCAACATACAACGTTTCTTTTGTTAACTACCCACTTTGGGTTATTGGAATAGTAGGGAATGAATCATGAAAATTATACATAAAGGGGAAAAATGTTAGATGGTGATATTTAACAGAAACTTTATATTCTTAGAGAGAGGGTGCATATTTTAGGAAACTACTCCTTTATAATAACACAATTTTTTCATTAGTTATGTCGTTTTCACAAGAATTATTTTTTAAAAAAAAAGGAGAGATTTCTTATAGGTAGGAGGTTAAAGTAAGTTTACTTTTTTTTAAATCTATGGCGACAATGGTCGAGAAAGTTAATTTATTTTTAAAATAATATTGTGGCAAACTATGAAATAACATATATATGCAACGTCACGCAAAAAGGGAACTTTAAAAACGACGAAAAGGCTAAGTATGTTCTTCTATCTAATTGAAATTAAATTCTCTTGCGCTGTGGAGACGTAAGTAATATGCGCACCAGGTAATTAATAGTGGTATTCTTGCCACTTCGTACACCGCAAAAAGCACAAAAAAGTCAATAAAGTAAGTAAAGTTAATATTCCAAAATGTAAGTAAAACGAAGGGTAGGTATCTAATACGGCGTACGGCTCGGTCGGTAGGTATGACGCGTAGGTATAACACTGTTTCATTATACTTAGAAGCGTAGAGCGAGAATACAATCGCCTTTTATGTTTCGTCCCTGTCTCTCGAATGAAATCATCATCCGAGTGAGAGAGACAAAATATGGAATGCACATTGTCTTTTCGTTACGTTAACTTAAGCTTATTGAAAATGGTTAAATGTATATTTTTTCCAGGTAGTATTGTGTGTTTGGATGTTTCTATAAGAGTCACTTCAGAAATGGATTATATCAGTAGTCTTTATGGACTTTGAAATTGAAATATCGTCTTACTACATTTACGTTTCAAGTGTGCTCTTACATATTTATATCCACACACACACAAACGCAATTGTGTCTTTCGTGTGTGCCTCGATTTAAGACGATTCTAAAATCTTAAACAAGTGAGCGGGTAGGCTATTACACTTCAAATATATAGAAAGACTATCAATTAGCTGTTTCTTTTAACGTAACTGCATACGTTACAAACTAACAAAACTAAATTGATGGTTTTAAAAACGCATTTTTGTGACGTCGTCTGTCGGCCCGCACGAAAGACTAGCTTAATACCGTCCTGATTGCCTTCTGTCCGCAGCCGCGTACAAACACGCCGATGGAAAGAAGATTGACGGCAAACGAGTTCTCGTGGACGTCGAGAGGGCCAGGACTGTCAAGGGCTGGCTTCCGAGAAGATTAGGTGAGTGCATTTTCAGGTTACTTTTACGCCTAAGCGCCTCGATCGCTATAACGTACATGTTACAGCATAAGAATTAGCTCGACACGTTTAGTATGGGTAAATATTATGAACGAATTTGACTATAATTTCTGTCTCTCTTCAGGTGGCGGTCTAGGCGGCACCAGACGGGGAGGAAACGACGTGAACATCAAACACTCGGGCAGAGAAGATAACGAACGAGAGAGAGAGAGATATCGGTTGGAGCAGAGGGACAGGGACAGAGAGAGGGACGAGAGAGTCAACAGGGAGAGGGAACGTGAGTTGAATAGTTTAGTGGCAACGACACAATTGACACAGATGCCTGTCGCGTTTCTTTTACTTCAAACGATGTTTCCGTTTGTGACGTCTTCTTTCCTCGTATACATTCAGGTCCGGCTCGTAGGAGGTCACGGTCCCGTTCTCGACGGCGTTCGACGTCACGCGCGCGCAGGAGGGACCGCGAGAAGAGAGAGGAGGAGCCAGCCGAGAGGTACTACTCACATTCAGGCGGGCCCCAGGGTCTTCGCGCTTTCGCCCTAATCTCACCTTTTAACTTCTAAATTCCAGGCGTCGCCGTCGTTCGCGCTCGCGCTCAGAGAGACGTCGCGAACGACGCGAGAGAGACAAGGACAAAGACAAGGATAAGGATAAAGACAGAGACAGGAGACGCCGACGCGACAGAGACAGGAAGGAGACGAAGGTCAAGCCGGAGGACATTAAGATCAAGGAGGAGCCGCAGGACGGTGGGTGACATTCGCATTCGCTAATAACGTACTGTCCCAAAGTAGTCTTGCTGATGTCGCAAATGTTTCTGACTTCAGATTATCCCGAGTTTTCGCTGCCACCTCTGGACGTTCAGATCAAGCAGGAACCCGAAGACGAGAACAAGTATAACCCGGAGGACGCGAATGGCGACGATTACTATTAGACACCTTACTAGGAATATTTACTGGATTCGTTTCCAGAAAGGTTAATATCAGGGATAAGTCATTAACATTAAAGTGTCAAGACACTTACAAAAACCTACCTTATAGGTACCATGTTGTTCCAGAGGAAAATGCTTTTACAAACACCAAACGACCTTATTTTAGGCCATCCATTAGCCCAAAATTTGGATTGTATAGATGTTATTTGTAAAAAGACATCCTCAATTCCAATTCATTTGGCTTCACTAAGGTTGCGTAAGAGTTTCGACACGGAGGCCAATAAAATCAATTTGTGAACTGATATTACATGTATATTAAAAACCATTTAAGTATTTCAAGTGATTCGCATCTAATCCTTCAAGTCATACAATTATTGTAAAGTTTGTAAAATAAAATATAATTCTGATACAATTTCAAGCAATATAAATAAATAAGGTAATTAAATAGTTTTGTTGTTCATTTACTCGTGTGGTTTGCCCGAAGAACTCTTCGAGCGAAACGGAATATCCAGATAAGCAGAGCTCAACCCGGCGGCAACGCTGCGACTGAGGGATATGTCGGGCGAACCAGATATGTCGGTGTGGACGTTTGCCTTAATACTGCCAAATAACATAGTTTTTAATATTTTCCAGGAAATGGAGCTCTATCGTTTCACCTACACAAGGTCGTTATCTTTTTCTTTGCTCTTCTTCTGTTTTTTCTTCTTTTTCTTGCCAGGATCTTTCGTTTTGTTCATATCGTTGTATTTTAAAAGCTTTTTGTACATTTTCAAAAGCTGTTTTGCGTCCTTCTCCATTTCCTTGGTGACGGGTTCAGCGTGTTTCACAGGATCTACGAATTTCGTAGAACCTTGCAACGTGTTGTAATGATCTATAGATCCTTCTTCTATTTCATTAATTTCAGGTAGGACTTTTTCGGGTATCACAGCTTGTCCCTCGGTTTTGTTTTCTTCAATCTTCTTTTTTAATTCTTTGTTTTTCTTGCGCAGTGCATTGAGAATATTTGCCGTATTTAACACATTTGTCACTTTTTTGCTTTTTAAGTATCTATCCTTCCAAGAGATATTTTCTATTTCATTCCTATGTTCGTGTTCTTGTATCTCTTCTTCTGCAACGGCATCGACCGTTTCTATTTCATCGATTTTCGCTGATAAGGCGACTATTTCTTCTGCTGTTGGTTCTTTGGAGACTGAGAGACCCTCGACCTCATAGCACGACGAATCGTCGGACAGTTCCAAATACTCAAACACATCATCTATGGAATTTTCTTTTTGTAGGTTTGATTTAACAAATGTTGCATCTGTCGAATCTATTGATTCTTTATGGATGTTATCTGAGGATCTATCTTCATTTTTATTGGAATTAGTTCTAGGTATTGATTGAGAATAAAAGTTCAGATCTGCATTTTCGCGAAAATCCGATTTCTTGTTCTTCTTCGATTTCTTTTCTTTTTTCTTCTTCTTTTTAGATTTCTTCTCATCGTCCGATATGCACACTACTGCCGTTGTACTTTCTTTAACTTCTGGACTCTCTTCAGATAATTCCCCATCAGATAATTCTTTATTAATAATTTCACCATCTTCTGCGTTTATGCTCAATTCCTGTGTTGTATTGGTATTGTCTTCACTATCCCTACATTCTATTTTGTCTATACCTGTTGTTTCTTTTATACCTATATTAGATGCTTTATCAGGTTCTATAGTTTCACTATGCGACTCTACTATGTTATTACTACCTTCAGTCTCAGCAGTTTCTTTACAACCACTACTGTTAGTAGCTTCAATACTTTTAGTAAATTCTGCAAAACTGTCCATAGTAGGTGAAACCTCTTCATTTGTATCATTACTTTCTGCCACAGACAAAACATTTTGATCAACTTTGCTAGCAACAATGCTACTTTCAGCACTTTTAATAATTGCAGAAGATTTAACCCCACTGACACTACTTGTACTAGACTCGGACAAACTGCTTTCTGAATCTTCTGTGGATGCTCTTCTATCGTAATCTTCTAAAAGGTCCATTTTCTCTGAATCCGATAATTGCAGTGTAATCTCATCGTGATCACTGCCGTCGTTTTGTTTCCTTTTGAATTTCTTCTTCTGCTGTCGCTTGTTCTTCTTGTCCTTTGGATCTTTAATTTTAACTGTTTCTATGGTATCAGTAGGGGGTACTACTTCAGGCATTTGACTAACTGATTCATCATTTTTGGTCGATTTGGAGCGGTTAAGCTTTATCTTTCGTGTCGTTTTAGTCTGTGGGACTGTTATTATGAGATCGTTGACACGTTTTGTAATTTTTTTCGCAGTTTCTTCCATCGCGGTTTCCCTGGTTTTTTGAAGAATTTGTAATTGTTCTGCAAAAAGAAAATTATCTAATATTATTTGTTCTGCTCCTTATATGTTTGTAAGATAAATATTTTCTAGAATTATAGTAATTATTCATAACTAGTTTTGCCCGCCACTTCGTCCGCGTGGAATAGTGACTTGAGGTAGACTTTAATTATTTAGGCTGTTTATTAAATTTATTTAAGGCAGCCAATTTATGTTGTAAGTGCTACTTTGCCGCAACATTCTCACATCACTCCTACTCCCACTCCTATTTCCAAAGAGCCAAAGAAGAAAATTTCATTGTTCTAGCTTCAAAACCACAAATTTCCATACAAACTTTCATCTTCTTTTTCAACCCTCATTTGGCAAAGTAAAGTATTTAAAAAGTAGCCTATGTCCTAACTCGGGCTCTAAAATATTTGTGTACCAAATTTCATTTAAATTAGTTTAGTAGTTTCGGAGTCAAAGCTGGACAGACAGACAGAGTTACTTTCGCATTTATAATATTAGTATATATAGAATGGCATTAACATATCTAAATTAACTGTTAGACACAATAGATTAAATACTGTCTATACTTTACGCGAGTAGTGCAAATTTAAATAAAACACTTTAACGGTTTAAAACGCGATATATTAGTTAAACTTATTTGAAAATGATTTTAACTTCGGCCCGACGTTTCAAAAATCATTTTCAAATAAGTTTAACTAATATATCGCGTTTGAAACCGTTAAAGTATTTATTTAAACACAATAGGTTACTTATATATAACAATTAGAAACAAAATGTAAAGTAATAGTAGCCTAATGAATAAAATAACTATTAGTATTATTATTCATTACTTTAAATTTTGACACTCACTCTCCAACTCATTCGCACTAGGCTTTTCATCTTCACTGCTAATCTCCACTACTTCCGGCGCCTCCTCCTTGATCACCACTTCATCATCATCCCCAGATAGTTGCGTGTCCTGGCCCTCTGACTGTTCAGCTGGAACTGAAAGCATTCATTCATACAAAACTACTGCAAGTACAGTATATCGTTATAGTTATATTAAAAATACAAAGTGTGTATTTGTTGGGCTTTCCTTAAAAAATAATTAAAGATCGTTTATTAGCCTAAAACCCGATTCACAAGAGAAGCTTTGCAGTTGTGGCACAAGAGCCAATGGCCACATATGAATATATAAAATATTATTACTATTATTTTTGAGAAAAGGATAATTAATGTGTATATGAGTAAGTGTGTGTATTGACAACAATTTTTCATGAAATATTTATTGATAGATCTTTAAAAAATTTGTAATAGCTTTGTCATTACAATTACAAACTTTCAAGAAGAGAATTTACTTTCCAGGGGCGACTCACCAGTCATTTGATGCTGTTGTAACTGAGCCCTTATGGCCCGAGCCCTCGCCTGCAATTCCAGCAATTCAAGCACAGTCAGACCAGCCCTTGAAGCCTTATTATTCTCTTCTTCACACCTCGGAGATTCCTTCTTCTTTTGTTTCTTCTTTGAGTGGCGATGCCTGTGCTGGAAATGTCAAGAATGTGTCAAAACTTGCTTATATGTTTTCCTATTGTTTTACGAAAATCACAAAAATGGTCATTAGAAACAACAAACAATGCAGTTGATTTAAGAATTATTTCTAAATCACTTTTCACGCGGATACTCTTGGAGAAAACATAGTTTTATTTCTAAATAGTTCAAAATGTATGCACAAACTATTTACAAATTTTAAGTTAGCAAAAATTCTATTTTATTTTACAAATTCTAACTTGATACAATGACAACCGGCACAATGGAGGCATTCTCTAGGGCTTAACCTAGACCTGGACAAATAAAATATTTTTTATTACCTTACATAATAGGCTATTTGACAGTTTCAATACCAATAAAAGTTTGCCTTTCTGATAGATGCAACCTGATATACCAATAAACCAGTATTATTATTGAACAATAATAATCTGACCAAGAGTATGATGATTTGGGTGGGTTAACAACTTTTATAGAATCATCATCTATTAAACGTATTTGACAAAGTATTAAGTGTAATCACATTCTTATGATCTTATGTAAAAAGTATTAATGGAATAGTGGTAAAACAACAAGGTCTGTTGGTTTGGTGACAAATGATTGAGCAAATTTGTTCTTATTACCATATAAGACTATTTTACTATTTCAAATACTTTTAACACTTTATTCTTACATCGTCAACTAGCACATTTTGTTTTGTTATAAGCTAATGTTGAGAATTAGTACTCCAATTTAATTTAAACCGTTAATATTGGTCACTGAGACTCAATAAAATACTGAACATACATGCAGGTTTTATTTTATAAGAAAGCACTTACCTTTTTACTCTTCTTTGAACTGTCCTGACTCAAAATCTCATCATCAGACGATATGCTGTCAAGCGAAATGACCTCCAATCGTTCTGGAGAAGAGCTAGAGGAATCTGTGTTTGAAGGCGGGTCAGCTCCATCCAGAATTGCACAAAGGCGCTTTGAACTTATGCCAAGGAGCTGAAAGATCAATTAGTAACTTTAGAGTAGTTTAAAACATTTTGCCCAGCCTATAGTTTATACGTAGCGAGTTGTCTGACTGAATACTGTAGTAAGTCAATATTAATTATGTTACATAGATAAAATAAATGGGAGAACATAAAGATTTATGTGCGAGTCCGTAATTAACGCACAATTACCAATAGCAATCGGGGATATTGATGTACTTGATAGGTAAACGTTAGTCAAACTAACCTTACCTCTTCAGTGCATAACTCTTGCAAATCATCAAGGGATATATGTTGTACGCACTGCGGGGCCATAGCCTTTATTTCTTTCTGTTTCAAAACGGAGAAAACCTGATGCATTAACTCCACTCTGTCGTGAATGAAATAAGCCAAGTCGTGCTCCTCCTTCCTCATTTGGGACGATTCAGGCATTTCCTGCTTAATTCTGTGCTTTTTTATTCGTTTCATTCTGGAAATCTAAGTTTAATTATCTGGAATTTAGTTTTTTATATATAAATAAAATAAATAACGATTAATTGATTAATATACACAAACTTTTGTCAATGTCAATTTTAAGACAGATATGACTAGGTATTTGGCATTTTTTTAATATTTGGTATGACTTGAATACAATAATTTTGATCCAATTGTTATAAAATATAATTAAATTATTTAAATAAAACACTTTAACGGTTTAAAACGCAATATATTAGTTAAACTTATTTGAAAATGATTTTTAACTTCGGCCCGACGTTTCGGATGCTTTGCAGCAGCCGTGGTCACGGGGACCGGCTTTTATGTTTTATAAATTTAACTTAAAATTTATAATTAAATTAAGTTAGTATCCGAGCTAAAAAAATTAAAAAAAAAACCGAATCGTTTAGAAACGCCTTAAATGCAAGAGAATCAAATTTAATTTATTTATTATTAACAGTGACAATATTATGTAAAATCATAAATTCTAAAATATAAATAATTAAATGCAACCAAACTAATTATATTCCTTCAATATTAAAGCAACTTATATAAAAAAAACAACTTTTTAAATTTAGAAAACTTATGCACTGACATTACATTAAAAATATGTTAGTTAATAATTATTTTAAGTCCTCTGAAACTAAATAAAATGTAAAATTTTATAAAAATTGCTTAAATGGTCGGAGGAAATGCCGCAAATAGAGGTGTTTTTAAACAATTGTTTGGACCTAGGATTGCAGGCGGCATTTCAGATGATTTTGATAAATTTGAGTCCTAGACTAGCAAATATTTTGCCCATCTGTTATTTCGGAAAGGACATTAAAAAGCACAAAAGACCAGCATTTATAAGAGTATCCTATACCTCTCAAGTTTATTGAGGTTTTCGAACGAGTACTTGTTTACTGTCAAGGGAAATGGCGGTGCGGAAAATTTACGAGAGTGACGATTTTCTAGTAGTTAACAAACCTTATGACATGTATATTAATTCAGACGATGAAAATGAAAAGGTATGCCTCAATTATTTACCAAATCTTAATAAAATTATTACATTGGATGTTTAAAATACGACTTACAAGTACTGTTTGTATTGTTGTTATAGTGATGTAAGTCACTGATCTAAAATCGGTACATTATATTATCGGTTTCTGTAAATCTAGAAAGTTAAGTCCCTTGTTCATTATATTAAGCAAAAATAAAATTCTCTATAAAAATATAATTTAAGTTAGTGTTTTATTACTGGTTTATGATTATACATTATACATGGTTACGTATAGAAATAATAAGCCGATAGAACTATTTTTCTTACATTACTTTGGTTTCTTAAAAAGTAATTTTAAGGTCTGGAATTAATTTTTTTTAACTAATTTCTTTTCCTTTTAGAACACAGTAACATGTTGTATTGCATCTCACGATTCACACCTTTCAACATCGGCTAATCCCTTGTACTTCGTCCAAAGGCTTGACTACTCAACTAGCGGAGTGCTTTGTATAGCCAAGAACAAAACGGTTGCTGCTCTAGCAGGAAGGTGATCATATAATAATATAAAAAAAAATATTATTCTTGAATAAAACGTGTACGTTCTTTATATAATTTTCATGTTTTAAGGTTATTCGAGAAACGTCTCACAAAAAAATATTACTTAGCGGTGGTGAGAGGACATCCAGATTTTGAATTAGCAGAAATACGATATGCAGTCGGTATGAATTTTAACTTATGATTAAGTTTCATTCATAGGACACAAATTAAAACGCAGGAAACAAAATATTCACTTACGTCTTATTAGAAAAGGGCGTGTCCAAAAGCACGCAAAATCAAAACGCGTTGCTCTACTAACTGAGCTACCGTGTCCCATGACCATAGAAATCCAATTGATAATGTGTATTTTTTATTACTACGTGCAAATTTTATTAGGCTACAGAATGTAGTAAAACTGTTTTTATTTTATATATGTATTTTAATGAAAAAGAGGTGTCAAGCGACAGCCAAATCGAGCGAAGTCCACTCTCACGCACGTGTTGGGGTTGTCATTACTAAGTGCGAGACGTGTTTGTATATAATGATAAAAGGAATTCAAAGGAAGGATTCGACGATCACGGTTTGGACACGCTAGCTCAAATAGTAAAGCCATAACACGACTTGTTGCGATCGTGATAATTATTTAAGGAGCTGACCAGTCACCAGATCAAAGTCATCGTATGTCGGTTGTGTCGAATTCGTCACTGGCCGGTGATGCAAGACCAGCTCATACAAGAATGTTAATTCTAGAGCGAGGCTTCTATTGTAAAGACCCCGTTGCTGTAGTTCTTCTTAAGCCGATTACAGGTACTTATGTATAATTATTATGTCAAACTCGAACTTATCAGTTTTTTGTTATTAATATTTCAGTATCTACCTAAGAAAGAGGAAATAAGGAATTTATTAAATGTTCAAAAGTATAAACTTGCTTTAACCTCTAATTGAAAAACCACAACCTTGAATTTGACTGAATCCTTTATTAATAGGGCGTCGTCACCAATTGCGTGTACATTGTCACGCGACGTCGCATACTATTCTCGGCGACTATACGTACAGTGATAGAATGGACACCGCACCACACAGGATGTTTCTACACGCTACTAGGTAAGGTATATTAGGAAGTGATAGTTTTTATTTGGGAACTTGGAAGTAACATTTATATCATTTCTTTTTATTAGACAGGTGAATAACTTCCACTTGTTCTTAAAAGAGACAAAAAAAATCGGTAATGCCCTGGACCTAATTTCCAGATATCATTAATTTTACTAAAACTTATTAGCTGATTCAAATTCCAGGCTAGTGCTTCCACTACCGAACAAGCCCTTAGATATCCAAACTCCAGAACCATTCTTCAACGATGTCCAGTTTTCGGGTCAGTGGAAATCTCAAAAGTTGCTCCACAAATATCGTAATAAAGAAGATTTCATCGCTGTTTGCGATGATATCGATAGAGAATATATTATTGGTGTTAAATATAAAGATTTCAGTGTTTAATTTTCGTTTTATTTATTTCCATCTTAAATACTGATGGTAGTCTACGCGAGTAGTACACATTTTAATAAAACATTTTAACGGCTTAAATCGCGATATAAAAGTTAATCTTATTTGATCATTATTTTTAACTTCGGCCCGACGTTTCAGATGCTTTGACGAAACATAGACGAATCTTGTTTTCCTTATTTTTTTTCGACGCGCCATCGATTGAGATTTCAGATCACTTACACATCACTGACAGCTGTTATTGCCTTTGCTGTGATACGTACTAGGTTTAAAAAAATAATAATTTTCCATATACTAATATATAACTCCATTTGTATACTTAATGGAAAAGCTCGTTAATATGCTCATTTCTGCAGTTGAAACGTGATATGATATTAAATTATGCTGGCTTAAAAAAATATGTCTCATAGGGTGGTATTTAATACATCAAAGTAAATCAAACTCTTTACGTTTTGTTACTAGCCACGAAAATTTGTAGTCGTCTATTCAATACAATTTTGGCCATTGTTCTTTGATTCACCGGAATATCACAAATATTACCGGTTTTATCTTCTCCCTAACTGTCAACATTTGACAACTCTTATAATAAAAATAAACATTGGTTTTCAAAGGACGCTGCTTCAGTTCGAGCCGTAGAATTATATTATTTAAGCTTTAAATGTACTGATTAAAATGTTTTCATCAAGATATTAATGTATTTTTAAGTGCACTTTGTTTTATAATGGAGGAAGTGTGTTCCACTTGCTTGTGTTCCGGTCGAAAACTCGGGTGCATCAATGGAACAACTATGTATTATTTTTACAAACAAATATTAAATGAAATTGCCGTAAGTTGTTTACTATTTATGAATTTATTGATAGTATGAACTTGGCAGTGGCTTTCAATTCGTACATTCCGAATTTAACATTATTTAAACGTTAGGATACACTTTTCAGTCAGGATTTTATCGCCGACATTGTTTATTTTTTAATTTAATTTAGTGCGCCTGAGAATTATTTTAATATATTAATAGATTAGCTGCCTTACCTACCTTATGAATCAGTATCAAAACTGTTTTCATTAATTCTCAGATAACAATAATAGAGTAGCTAATATTTTATAAATAATTACAGCAAAATATTAAACAATAACCAAAGATTAATTCCACCCGCCCTCTTGAATATTGAAAATTCGCTAATTTATCACAATTTCAATATAGAATAATGTAATTTAGCAAATACACATGAATAAATTCACTTTAACCAATGCTCTCAGGCTCCGGAAGAATTACAGGTCAAAGTGTGTTGGGAGTGTCGAGCTCTTCTGAGGAGGTTTCAGGGCTTTCAGCATCAAGTTAAGTGCTGCTATGTGGAACTTGTCACATGTTTACAGCAGGTAATTCTTACCCACAGGCATTTCTTGTTTAACACTACTGTCAAGTTGTACATATTTTAATATTGTAATGTTGAACAGTATGTAAGCGATAACAGTTTTCAGAAATCTTGTCTAACATGATAGATACCCTAAAAGATCTTTATTTAAAGGAAGCTCTCTGTAACTGCACTTTCTGTTGCAATTAGTACTAAAATTTTAAATTGTGTAAATTTTTACAGTTCGAAGCTAAAGGAAATTTTAATTGCTCTCTGATATGTAATATTTTTTTATTCTATTTTATTAGTGTAAGTTTTCCATGTTTTAATAAATAAATAAATAAATATCATGTACAGACTATCTCAATTTTTATATGCACATATTATGCATCCTGAAGTGGTAAGTAGTGTAAAATAAAATTAGAATTTGACCATGTTAACTTTACAATTCCAGAATCCTTCCTTAAAGCTATCTTTGGCTAGGACATCTCAACTTCAGAGTCACTGTGTTACCAGCATTAGTATACCAGATGTGAAACCACAAAGTCTGGATATCAAAATTGAGAATGATGAGGTGCATTGTGAGCCAGAGACCTTTGTTAACACCTGGGGACAGGAGACAAGGAGGAAGGAGGAATTTGAGGTATTATAGATTATCATTGTTTGCTATCCATGCCAAATCGTGAATCACAGATTTGTTTTCTTATGTAATCTATTTATGTTTTAGGTTAACCATTGCAAACAAGATGTTAGTGTAAAGCAAACAAAAAAAAGGGAGAGAGAGAAGGTATTTTCTTTGAATAATTAGACTTTTTATAACTTTCAATGAACTTTTTGTAAATTGGAAGAGATTTAAATAAAACACTTTAACGGTTTAAAACGCGATATATTGGTTCAACTTATTTGGAAATGATTTTTAACTTCGGCCCGACGTTTCGGATGCTTTGCAGCAGCCGTGGTCACGGGGAGACTAATAAGTTTAACTAATATATCGCGTTTTAAACCGTTAAAGTGTTTTATTTAAATGTGTACTACTCGCGTAAACTATAGACAGTATTTGGAAGAGATTTCAGTTCAAAAATAAATTGTGTCTACATAATACAACAAAAATGTAATAATCGTGACTTAATCAGTACGGAACAAATTATAATCTTCCATTATAGATACGAAATAGATGTATCAAGAAGCAAAAGAACTGTAGTTCAATAGAAACATTTCCTTATTCTTTTTTTAAAATTCCAGACAAAGAAAAAACAAAAGAAGCGGGTGAAATTGAAGCAGCCCAAGATGAAGAAGGAGCTTTCCTACGACAGTGACGTGGATTGTTTCAACAATACAGATGACGCGCATGTCGGAACGACCCCAGTAGACGCATGCGACACAGTCGAGATTGGCAAAGGCAAGGATGAACCTATCAACACGGCGAGTCAGGTCGTCAACGAAGACCGATGTGATACAGATATCGGCGACGGGACGGAAGATGACGTGGCGTTGGACGTAAGTGTGTGCTGCATTGTGCCAGAAGAGATGGATGATGAACAAAGAAATAGTGGCCAGAGAAATTCCATCTTTTATTTTAATATATATTTTTTGGTTTCTTGGCGTCATAGGTGAATCATTCTCACGGCCTCTTTTGGTAATTAAATGGTCTATGCAACGCAAAAAAAATACAAATGAACCAGTAGTTCATAAGATTAGCGCGTTCAAACAAACAAACAAACTCTTGTGCTTTATAACATTAATATATTACTTTCAGATAGTCCGGCGAGGCCCCGGGGTTCCACGGACCCGCGAAGTGTTGCCAGAGAGGCCTCAATGTGTCGAATGCGGAAAAATCTTCAGCTCGAGAAAGACATACCGATATCATCTAAAGTAAGATTTAAATATAAGAGGAAGAATTCCTATTTTAGACAACAACAATTGACTCAAGACAAAAACTTTTGCTTATAAAGAGTATATAAAAACCGATCACATACACTTACTTTGGTTAGAATAAAACTGATTTAGCTTTTCTTTGTTTGTAACGAGAGTTTTTCTAATCCTAATGACATTTGTGTCTATTGCAGCGTACTGCACAAAGGACAGAATCGCCACGAGTGTCCGAAGTGTGGGAAGGTGTATCAGTGGAAATCGAACCTAGGCCGACACATGCGCACGCATAAGGTAACTTCGTGCACACTTTGACCTTTATATAAGTGCTACGAGGATTGATAATTTAAATATTTTGCACAAGTGCACATGATGTTACTATATTCATCAAAACTAGGTTTTACTTGAAAAATAGAATTTACGACTCGGGCAGGACTCGTGCCGGTATTTACAGCGTTCCGTGCTGTTGCTCTAACCAATTGAGCTACCGAGTCCTACACGTCATCGTCCAATATTTCCAACCTTACATGCACCTCTTGCGCAATATAATTTCAACCTTAACACTTTCATATTAAGTCTGAATTTTTAATCGTAATGAGTGGTCGTGTCGCAGGCGCGCGAGTCGGGTGAGCTGTACTGCGCCAAGTGCGACAAATCGTTCGCGTCCGTCGCGACTTATCGCCAACACGTGCGCATCTCGCGGAGGCACGTCTCGGAGAGCGAGTTCACGTGAGTGGGGGGGGGCAATGGGAGGGCGATGGGTTAGGCTGTGACCTGTCGTAACGAGTACCGTTTGCACCCGCAGCTTCACGTGCGACGAGTGCGGCAAGAAGTTCGTGAACAAGACCCGACTGCGCGACCACGTCGATTGGGAGCACCTCAACAAGATCAAGTTCCGTTGTCAACTCTGCAATAAGGTATGAAGTGTGTAATCACGTTTGAACGTGGGCGATGTGATGTGGGTTATGGATGCAGAATTAACATTTTAAGGAACACGTGACACAATACGAGATCGCAGTATTTCATTGCCTTTATTCAGTGTTATAAAAGTATGTATAGCAACACGAAGACATACGTTAGTATTTGAACTTAACGAGTTCCATCAATATCTGTTCAGCCGTTCAAGTGCCACACGTCGCTGTACGTGCACATGCAGAACGTGCATCGGAACAAGGAGAAGAAGGACAACCTGTGCCACGTGTGCGGGAAGTCGTACCAGGTACGTCGAGATCGGAAGGTGCGAAATCATTGCTTAGTTAATCGTTATTAATTGTATGTTTGTCTATAGAATGCGGCGAAACTGAAGTATCACATAATAGCGATGCACACGAGCGAGACCCCGTATCAGTGCGCGGAGTGTGACGCTGCTTTCGGCTGGTACTCCTCGCTGTACAGGCATATCAGGGAGGTGCACTACAAGGTAAGGGCAGGGAAGTGGAGGGGGGAGGGGGGGTGTTATTTATTATTGATTATTGAGGCGCTTAGCTAACGGGTGATGTTTTCCGATTATAGATGAAGATCCAGAGCAAGAAAGGTCGAAAAGACAAGAAGCTACAATTGCCGGAGCTGTTGGGGCCGAACAACTAAGACTATTGTGATATTTCAACGAATAAAGATATTTGGACTGATCGCTTTTTTATGCATCTCTCGTATTAGTCGCGAGTTCAGAAATAAACGATTTTGTTTTGTTTGTACATCCATCCCGAGTAATACAGGCTTATTGGCTTATTGCTGAAAAATACTAGAGATCACGAGCAAAACCTTAGTAACAAGTGAACACCGAAGTGCAAACAGAAAAGAAACCACTGGTGATAGAACAAACATATGTTCATCCATCTCTTGTGAAAAGCCTCGCGATAGAATAGGAATCGCCTATTCTATGTAAAAGTCATAGGAATTGAAAAATAATCGCTTCGCGTGGAGCGGTTTGTTGGAACTTGTATTTTTGATAGTTTTTGAATTGAAGAGATCACTTAATAAATGATATTTGATCGGTATAAGGTCTTTACTTGGACTAATGTCTAATGAATCATAGTCAGTTTACGAGAATACTCCATTCTCGTAAGCTAATTCATGATGTAAAACATATTCCTGAAATTAAATCAAAACGAACACTTGCTTCACCACAATTGCTCCTTACACTTTATCAGGCGCCAGAGAATATGATCCGGACAGCGTTATTCATGCCTTTTTATTAATACTTATCGAAATAAATTACGTTGCTTTCAAAAGGATTCAAATCTATACTAATATACAAAGTTGAAGAGTTTATTTGTTCTACTTACTAGGATCTACTTGTTCGAATTGATAAAATATTTTTGCGTCGCTTAGAACATTTTGAATTAAGACTATAAGGCTATGAAAGATTACGGTGTGACCAATAGGAGCGAAGAATTGCGGGAAATGTAAAAAATGGCGATGGCGAAAACGGTTCAAGACAAAACATTAGTACGAAAGAATTATTCCTCTTTAAATGGTCTAAAGAAATGTTAGCATTTCAGTTTCCCAATTAAGACTAATCGGACAATTGGAATTATATTTGGAAACGCTTTTATACGTTGATAGTGTATTTTATACTATTTTATTAGTTTTTAATCAAATTGTCCCCGTTTGTACGGCTTGACAGAACGGGCGATTCGGCTAATGTAAGACGCACGTCGACTCAACTAAGGATGAACCTTACAATGAAGGGAAGACGAGATATGCATTTAGAAAGAAAACACACACATACAGACACAGAATATTTTAAACATTCTTTCTTAAGGATCGAAGGACCTTCGTTGGAAGGCAGTACTAGTAGTGTGATTGATATTGCATTACACCTTTACTTTGTACTTTACATATAACTCTTCTGTTACTAACCTGGGCCAGTTTGAGCTGAGTGTGGAAGCACTCATCGGCACAGCAAGTAAGTATATTGTAAAAACCGCATAAAAGTGGCAATAAAACTTTTCAATAGGATATTGAAAATAAACGTAAATTTAACTTTTATGTTTTAAGTGTCTCGTTACTACTGCTACTAATTTGTGATTTAATATTAAGGATAAAGATCAATAAAACCTAACGCTCAGTGCAGCGTTGGTACGTCATAAACATATTTTTGTCGCATTAATGTCTGATTACACGCTCAAGAATTACGTTCTCATTTGGCTCAGAGCCTAATTGTGTATCGTTAACTGAAATCTAGACAACCACCAGTCATTCATTTTACTAGGATCCCAACATTTCCCGGGACATTTCGGTAGCAATGGGTAATCCAATGACCTTCCGGGTGCATTGAGGTCTCCAGTTTTTATAAAATTAAATACATCTTTTAATAGGAATAAATAATTTTCTCCAAAATTAAAAAAAAAAAAATAAATAAACACAAATTATAAAGCTATGGCCAATAGGAGCAGAGAAATAATGGTATGAATGAATTGTATCTTTCTATTGATTCAAAACATCAGTAATGGTGCGAAGCTTAACAGCCGAAAGACTTTCAAGGTAAGTGTGCTAACTAGAAGGGAACATTTTTACGAAAGAAAGTACCGGATAAGCATATCATTCAAATAGACGTCAAAAGGACTTTATTCTACTCTCATAAAATACTTTAGGAATTTTATTTCAAAAGATTTTTACTACCATATTTCTGCTCGAAATATATCAAAGAACTGTTCTTTTAGAAATATTTCTTGTGCAATACGAAAAAGCGAAGTGAAAATGGAAAAGTATTTTTCCATTTTCCAGCGGCCGGGAAGCGCAATATTGGAGATTGCCTGGCACAGAGGAGAGTCGAATCAAAAGCACCTTTCAGTTTTTAATTGATAAATAACTTTTGTGGTTTGTATTTCGGTTGTCGGCACGTGACAATTGTACGTAATCTTAAATCTTGTCGTTTCTTATTTATGAAATATTATCGCAATTACTTACAACTTGATTTATAAGTCGCAGTCGAGCGGAAGTTATTAATGGCCGCCATTTTTCTGACAACATTAATCTGCCTTTGGATAACGAAAAATATATTAATTCCCTGTTATTCCGGGACTAGTATTGCGAAAATATAAAAACGTGAAAGGGCGATTTTGACCTTTGTGGTGAAACGCAGTAATTCGCATACAGCATCAGAGATGTACTCGTGGTACAAAGAGAGGTTGCTGTTATAACTGACTAATAATAAAAAAAATCAGCCAATTATATTTTGATATAGCTTAGTCATCAGTTATAATTTAAAGAAACGGAGGCCTAAAGGAATTTGCGCGTGGCGCAAGTTGGTTGTTAGTTGTGCTATTAAACTTGCTACGAGCCTGGAAGTTACAATAAGGCGAGGTGTACACTAACGACATCCTACTTATATAATTTCAGATGACTGTGAGGATGACGTGAAGGACACGGTTAAAGTAATAGCACGGGACGCTGTGGATGCCGGTTCAAATCCTGTTCGAGTCGTAAAATAATATTAAATGTATATTCGCTTTTTAATGTATATAGTGCAATAATATCTGAAAAATATTAAAATAATTTAAATACATTAGTCTGCTTATTTATACTTTTCATAGCAACTAAAAGTCGTATTTATCACTCGTTGTTCTACGTTTAAAAGCTTCCATTTCACATCGCATTCGAACCGTGGACCTCTGACGCTCGACGTAGTCGCGTGTAATAGGTCTCATGTAATGTCGTGTCTGGAAGGTCTAGAGAGAGTAAACACGCTAACACGCCTTTCTGTTTATCAAACACATCGCTATGAACACGAATAACTTTAGTCGGTGGCGGTTGGAAGTTTGATTCTTCATTATACACTAAAAGGGCGCAGCTAGTGAAATAATACACGAAGTTATGTTTTCATTAGAGGGTCGTTAGCCACGGCACGAGTGAGAGCAAAAACTCCGGTTATAACGACTCTCGCTAATCGTGCCCACTTCGAGCCTAGGGATGTGCCCCTCGATCCACGTGAAGACGTGGGTGTGTTGTTTCCTTTCATGAAAAGCGTAGTCGTCTAAAGTGAGACGAGACGTAACTCATACTTGACGTTCGTACGCAACATTGGTTTCAATTCAGATTTGTTATATATTGTACGACCTGGTCAAGGTAGCAGGGAAACGCTGGATTAACTTGCAAATTACCGGTCGTACCGGAAGTCTATGTCCAGCAGTGGACACTGAACGGCTCAATCGAATCGAAAATATATTATTGCTCGAATCGTTTCTTTTCTCGATCAAATATTGTGTGCTCTAGTGAATGTGAACTTAAAATTTTCACCATAAGCTAATACAAATTAGGGAGGGCCTATAGAATAGCGGTGACCTTTACATTTGATACGGAACAGACACGCATTTGCCCGGCTTTTTATCGATGTAGTCACATCACTAGACGCTCGAGCTGAGGTCAAGTGTTTGTGAATGTTTAAACAAGTGCACGAATGGTTCCGTTGCAATACTGAGAGGGAAAACTATATTCATATTTTCCTACGATTCTTCCGGACCATTCTTCCATTGAGTTGCTGCAGTTGAGACTAATTTAATTAATTATAATGATCTTATGTTTCATTAATTGTGTTTATATTCAGCAAAAATTGTTCCGCAATTTTAGCGTAAATATATCGTTTATCATTGGTAATCTTTCAACGCGTAGCAACAAAAAATACCCGATTAATACGTCGACAAAGACTTGCCTAATTAAAATTCTCTTTTTTTTTGTACAGTAAGAAAAGATACAGCTCTATTTGTGAGGCGTTTTAATTTGCCCTCCCTTCATACGATTAATGGCTCAAGGAGTCTTTGCAAAACATTATCCTGAGTTCCTTAATTATACACATTTACTGAGGGCTTTTGGGCGAATTTTTTGTATCTTAATAGCAATTGAAGTGTCACCTATCACGATACAACATATAAAAATAAGCCTACAAATATAATTTATGTCTTGTCTTTGTTTTATGTTATTTATGTAATGGTATGATTAGCGACCAATTATTATATTAGTAACTAGCTGCCCGCGAATTAGTCCGCGTGGAATAGTGACTTGGGGAAATTTTTTTATTTATTGAGGTTATTAATGTATGAAGGGCGCATTTAAGGCAGCCAATCTATGTTATAAGTGCTACTTTGCCGCAACACTCTAACTCCCACTCTCATTCCTACACTCACTCCTACTATCCCGCTCACTCCCACGCCTACTCCTATACCCAAAAAGTAAAAAAAGAAAGTTTCATTTTTCTAGCTTCAAAAACCACGAATTTCCATACAAACTTTCATCCCCCTTTTCAACCCCTATATTACGTTAAAGTTTTAGCCTATGTCCTTTCTTAGGCTCTAAAATATCTGTGTACCAAATTTCATTTAAATCAGTTTACTAGTTTCGGAGTTAATGCCGGACAGACAGACAGAGTTACTTTCTCATTTTTAATATTGGTAGAGAGTATAGATTATAGCCAAACTACGGGTGAGATCGCGGGGCGACGATAGTTTTAAATATCGCAAGTCACGTTGGCAGAGCGTAGTATTATTAATCATAGACATTAATCTTCATATTGTGTTTGGAACAGGGCGATATTATGCCTAAACCGAACCCACTAATACCACAAATGGCAGGCTTTTGTTCGGATCTAA